TAGTTCATACAAACAACACAGTAAGCATATGTGGGACTTATGGACACATATTAATACAGACATACGAGAAGGCTCGTACACACTTTAAAGCTCACCACTTCAGATTATCAATTTTGTCTCTAGCGAAACATACATTAAAGAGAGCATTCCCAGAAGGGGTGTATCCTAATCCTACTATGAGTCTGTCCTACTTCAAACTGTCTTCCAGAAGCCGCAGTCACAGTTTTCTCAGCAGGAAGATTTAAGAAGAGACTTGAATACCATGCACATTCTCATAGCTACAGCATATATTTAGGTTTAAATTATGCATATTAACTGATAAAATTAGTTCGTATTCATCAACATTACTGTACCATAGCTTGAGAATAACCCGTCAGTTTTTGGTCATTGTCATCATGGCTACCGTAAACTATTACTCATAATTTCCATTTTTACTTACCTTTCCATTCATTCGCTTACTTGTTGAATCGAATATTTAGCCAACTTGCATTAGGCAGCTCTTGATTTACCTATTTTCCTTTATTATAGTTTTAAAGATCCCTTTTAGGCTAAATAAATTAGCCGATTGACTTGCACATCGATTGTTGCCCATACCAGCAACCCAACATTCGAGGGCAAACAGATTTTTTTAAAAGAGGTGACAAAGCAGTCATTGGTTTACCGTCAAATCCGTTAAAACTGGTGCAACAGAGTGGCCTTATTATCTTTAATAGATGATATCAATGACCTGGGAATGTATATAACATTAGAATTTGAGCTCAAACAAATCAACAAGCTAAGACCTGATCACTGGGATTATATTGGACGAAGTCCTAAGTCCTATGGCATACAAAAGATGCTCGAAGCATTGGCTTTGTATGTTTTGCTGTACAAATAAGAAGTTACTAATTCATGAGGTTATGAGCCTATTGGCTTTGGACTGTAAGGAAAACGATGGTGGTTGCGCTGATAACACGAGCACTGACGGTGAAGAACGTGTCAGTGTAGTACGTGCGGCTACCGGACTCGTTAAACACTTGACTGTGATTGACGGGAAAGTGAAATCCCCGTTAACAATAACGAGGAGTGAAGTGCCGCTTGATATTGATATTGGTAATCATACACCTCTACTGAAAACTGTCACCGTTCCAAATAGTCCTAAGGTGGCTGTCCTGAGTGGTGATAGATGGACTCCAGTACGGAGAAAAAGAAATAAGAAGATAAAAGCTGTAGTCAAAACACGGCTGGTTAGCAAGTCGTTAGAAGAGACGGTATCAGAAACAAAAACTCCACTGAGTGTCAAAACAGACCTCTCTGAGATTTCAGTCATTTTTCATGAGTTAACAGAATCTTCCGATAGGGAACCAAAGGCTAGATTTGAACACGACCTCAGTCATATTAATTCCTAAATAAGCAAACTACTCCCAGATATGGTTTCAGTAGTTAGCAACTGTAAGCCTTATAGAATAGGACAAAAGGTGAATTATGAAAGTCCTCAGAAAAGCCGCCTTTTGAAGGTTACATTTGCCACGGTTGAAGAAAGGAACCTGATTCTAGGTAGCTCACGTAAACTGATCGGATCCGGAATACACGTCCGTGAGGATCTTAGCCTAGCTGATCGTATTGAGCTGCGGAAGTGGAAATAGATGAGCGTCGCCGAAACCCCGTTCTCAAGGGTTTTAAAATTGTAAAAGTTCGAAGCGAAACGATCCTCAAACCACTCTGGGTGGTAAGAGAAAGTTCTTCACAGACTTGCAGGTATGCCACTCAAATGCTCGCAGCCTACTACATAAAATGGCGGAGCTCAAGTCAACGGTGGACAAAGAAAAACCGGACGTCATTGCTGTCTTGGAAACTTGGTTAACGTAAGAACTATTAGATGGTGAAATCCAATTGACTGGTTTTTTGTCCAGTTGGGCTGTAAGATTAAACCGTAAGGGAGGTGGGGTTATCCTGTACACGTAAAGTACTCTAACCATAAAAGTGGCTGAGACAGTGGCACATGTTTCAGGAACATGTGAACTGGTGCTATGTAAGCTGAAATGTAGACGGCAAGATATTGAATTAGTTGTGTGGCAGATGATTTTTTCCCAAGCAAACTTAAGTCCTGGCGTAACAAGGGTAAAAGCTTTGTAGTAGGTGACATTAATACACCGTATATAAACTGGGTTAACTTAGAAGTAGGGTCATCGATAACGTCGTTCGATTGCAAACTGTTAGAAACCTCGATTGGATTAGCTTTATTCCAACACATTATAAACCCCACAAGATATGACTTAAGAAACTCTTCTGTTCCTTTAGATTTAGTCTTCACACACAGTGATGACGTTGGTCAAATGACTTTTCCCCCACCACTAGGGAGAAGTGACCATGCAGTCATCTTATTCAAATTCATGGCTGAGATTGCCTGTCAAACAGTCGCGCCGGCCCGTCCTAACATATGGAAGGCAAACATGGAGGCAATCAACTCCACAGCATCGGCTGAAAACTGGGAAATTGACTCTAAGGCATCGGTACAAGAGGCATGGACTCTTTTCAGGCAGTCATACAATAGGGTAACTCAACCATACATACCCTGGACAGTTCCAAAGAGGAAGAAGCATGGCCATTTCTGGATAGGCCGGAATATTCGACGTTTACTAGGACAAAAGAAGAGATGTTGGGATGTTGCTAATCACATCAGATACGACGGAATGCTACAGATCAGTAAGAAACAAGTGTATAACAAAAATTCGGGAAGCTCAAAGAAAATATTAAGTGCAGTTAGCATAATCTGCACTGAAGCAACCCAAGGCAATATTCTCGTACATAAACTACAGAACAAGGATGCATAATCGTATTCCCAACTTAATTAAAGAAGGGAGTGAATCTGAAACGGTAGAGGAAGATCAGGAAGACCCAGAGGCTATTGCTGACTATTCTGGGGCAGTTTTCACTCAGGAACCTCCTCTAGAGAAAGAACCAGACCCAAATACAGAGTCAACAAACCAGCTGCTCACCGTGGACTTCGACCAAAACTATGTGTTTAAGGCTCTTAGCACCCTAAACATGGAGAAGTCAACAGGACCAGATAAACTACACCCCAAAACCTTGAGACATATTGCACAACATATTGCAGCCCCACTGTCTGTGATATTCAATAGGCCACTTGATCAAGGTGTGTTACCTATGGACTGGAAGGACGCAATTGTAACTCTAATACATAAAACAGGACCACGACAACTTCCATCGAACTACAGACCTGTGAACCTCACCAGTTAAATAGTTAAAATATTGGAAAGAATAGCCAAACGGATCATAATGGTACTCATGGAAACCAACAACTTGTTAAACGGAGAACAACATAGTTTTAGGAAGGGCTTATCTTGTACAACGAACCTCCTTATAGCAAGGGAATTTAGGATAAAGGCACTAGACAACGGAAACTCAGTGGATTTTGTCTACATAGACTTCAGTAAGGCTTTCGACAAGGTGCCAACTAATAGACTGCTATTGAAATTGGAAAACCTTGGCATCGCCGGACCTCTTTTAAAATGGATTAAGGATTTTGTAGTAGGTCGTGGACAGAGAGTAAGAAGAAATTCCAATTGCTCCATCTGGAGACCAGTACTTAGTGAGGTACCTCAAGGTTCCATCCTAGGTCCTTTACTTTTTATAATGTATGTTAATGATCTTCAAAGTATAGTAAGGTCCCCAATACGCTGACAATGTAAAGATCTGGCGAGTAATAACTGGAGACGCAGATGCATGTGCTCTTCATGTAGACTTAAATCATATGACTAACTGGTTTAAAAAGTGGCCGATGCCTATCAACGCGGCAAAAGGTGTATACATGCACTTTGAGGATACAAAGATTAATTGGTACAGCATAGGGGAAATGCCAGTACTCGTTGTCCGGTCTCAAAGATCTGGGGTGACAGTGAGTCATGATCTTAAGACGACGGCCCATGCCGGGAGGTCTCAGCTAAGGGGTTTAGAACTCTATGGGCTTTAAAACGGACATTCACTAAGTTAGATAGTACCATGTTTACCACAGTATACACATCCTCAGTGAGAACTAAGCTTGAGAACTGCATTCAGGCTGCAAGCCCCTGTTTAAAAGGTGACTCGGATATCCTAGAAAAAGTATAGAGGGTAGCTACCCGTGCGATTCCAGAACTCCGGGGTTTACCATACAAACAGCGACTTGAAAAGCTGGACCTCTTTACTCTGTCCTATCGAAGACTAAGGAGCGATCTGATTTTGATGCACAGAATGTTGAGAAATGATTTCAGACCTAACGTATTCCCTCTTTTTCTTCCCCCTAGATCGGGACATCTCAGAGGACATAGCAGGCGAGTAGAAAAGACAAGAACGAACATAATACCCGTGGAATACAGGTTTTCGCACCGAGTCATCAATACTTGGAACCCACTGCTCAATGCAGTGGTGTTCGCACCTTCAATTGACTCTTTCATGAGAAAACTGGGCACTCACGGGAGCATACTAGGAAAGGAATAAAAAAGGTCGTAGGCCTTCTGTCTTTACTACACAAATCTGAATCTAATTATTTCATAAAGGTTCCGATTGCCGTACAATAACTTAGATTATAAACGGTTTTGTCTTCTTTTTTAACTTTGACTGTCTTATTAAAGTTTCTGATACATGTTTTGTTTAAATCAATCACATGGGAAGTTATTTGCTTGGGATTATTCAATTGCGTAAACTGTAACGTTTAGATACCTGGCGGTACTTAGTTTTATTTTCAATAGTCACATTGTCCTAATTTTATACTTGTATTTTTACTGACTGTTGTCGATTGCATTTAGTGCTTTCTATGTTCTGAATATGTCATTGGCGATCTTTTTCTGTTGTTATTTTTCAGAATATCTCAAACGCATCTACCTAAGTGACGTACTGAAAGTTAATAAATGAACTTTGGTTGGAACATATCGGGTTATAAATACCTTGGCCTTGTGTGCGAAGGATCATGCACTAATGTTCCATTGAAGAGTGTTCAAATAAAATGTAGGGTAGTAAATATGCTTTCAGACGTCAAGGTAGAGTTTTTGTACGAAAACTCATTACAAGAAGCTCTGGAGGCGTCATTTGTTTTTCCATTAACAATGTGGCGGTTTACCATTTCGAGGCACAAATCGGTGACAATAAAATAGTATCCGTGTGTCGTCCACGTGCAGAGGTAAGTAGGATAAATTGCCATTTTACTTGTATATAGTCGGGAAAGTTAGTAATTATACCACTGGATTGCGTTGTTGATAATAGAAAAGTTGCATAATTACACAATAAGACTCAAACGTTTACAGAAATGTTTCTTTTAGTTTGTCTTTAATATCCGTGCAACAATAATATTCGGTGAACGATGCTTCACTGATTATTTTCAGTTCTTATCGTTAATGATAGTGGGTCCGAACGGTTCTTATTGTACATATAAACATGGTTTTGTGTGTTAAAATGTAACTCAGCGTACTTTCTATATCGTTTTACTTATTGAAATGTCAAAGCTATAACTCGATTTTATTTAGTCCATGCTTTCAGTTTCAGTTTCATTTTGGGAAGGACAGGAGGCTTGAAGGCCTGTGTTAGTCCTGGCAATGGCGGTCCCTCAGTTGATCCAACTTTCTTTTGAAAGAGTCGACGGATGGAGCCTCAACCACGTGCTGGGGTAATGAGTTCCACTCGTTGATGATTCGATGGAAAGTTGATAGTCAGCTGACAAGTAATTTGTTCTTGGCTTGTGAACTTTTTTGGAGTGTCCTCGTAAATTCTTCAGCTTCGGTACTTTATGTAAAAGGGTTTTATCTTGACATCCGTAATCAAAATTTAGAAAGCACTGACTGGTTAAAACTAAAATTCAGGTATACAGTACGGAGTATGCCTAACTTCTATTAATGTGTCAGTTTATAACAAATCAGTTTCAGTTTGAAAAGGACAGGAGGCTTGATGGCCTGCTTTAGTCTTGGCAATGGTGGTCTCTCAGTTGATCCATCTTCCTTTTGAAAGGGTCGACGGATGGAGCCTCAACCACGTGCTGAGGTAATGAGTTCCACTCGTTGATGATTCGATGGGAAAGTCGATAGTCAGCTGACAAGTAATTTGTTCTTGGCTTGTGAACCTTTTTGGAGTGTCCTCGTAAATTCTCTGTTTTGGAAGACAAGAAAAATGAGGGCATATCAGGTGCGGATTTAGCACTAAGCAATTTGAAAACTGTAATCAAGTCGCCTCTAGTTCTACGATATGACAACAGGAAAAGGTTTAGCTTGGCCAGTCGGGCATCACACGGAAGCTTCGCTATTCCGGGAATCAGCTTAGTCGCCGTTCTCTGAACCTTTTCCAGAAGCTCACTGTCTTTTCTTAAGCAGGGGCTAGCCGCTTGTATGCAGTACTCAAGTTTAGGACGTACGAACACTGTATATAAAGTCAAAAACGTCTTAGCGTCAACATAACTAAAAGCCCTACGTATTGACCATAAGGTTCTAGAACCTTTGGCGGCTATTGCACGGCAGTGTGCAGTAGTCTTTAAGTCTTGGCTAACGATGACTCCTAAGTCATTATGTGTCTGGACGACAGGTAGCTCAGTGTTATTGATCGTATATGTATCTGTACCTTGATGACCGATATGCATCACAACACACTTGGAAGTATTTATCGGCAACTGCCAAGTTTGAGACCATTCAGATAATTTCTTCAGGTCATTTTGGAGTTCTAAGCTATCACCCTTACATCGCATCGTTCTCCATATCTTGACATCGTCAGCATATAGCAAGACCAATGATGATAGGAGACGAGGAAGGTCATTTACATACAAGAGGAATAGCACTGGCCCCAAAACTGTACCCTGGGGCACTCCACTAAGCACAGTTTCCCAGCTAGATAACTTTGAGTTCACCCGTACTCTTTGTTGGCGCGCAACTAGGAAGTCTTTTATCCACATCAATAGATTGCCTCTAATTCCGACATTTCTTAGCTTGTATAACAGCCGAATATGCGGAACATTGTCAAAAGCTTTGCTGAAATCAATGTTGGCTACGTCTACAGGTAACTTTTGGTCCTTAATAGCGCACCAGCTTTCACGAGCGACTAATAAGTTAGTGAGACAAGAATAACCTATTCTGAAGCCGTGCTGTTTCTTCAAAAGGATCCGGTTTTCATCGAGGTACTTAAACAGCTCCTTCCGAATAATCTTTTCTAAGATTTTAACAACCATACTAGTTAGGCTAACGGGTCGGTAATTCTCAGGTTTATGTTTCGTACCTGTTTTGAAGACAGGACTTACTATGGCGTTCTTCCAGTTTTTTGGTAAACGACCCTGCGTTACGGATAGATTAAAGCATATACTTAAATGGTTCGCGACGATATTAGATAATTCCTTCAGGATGCAATTCATCGGGCCCCATGGATTTACCTATCTCAAGCTTATTTAGCAGACCAAAGACATCTAGTTCTTTAATGGTCACGCTGTCCAGTGTATGTGTGGGGGGATTTCTACGCGCTGACGGGAAGGGTGCCTCTATGGTATATACATTGCTAAAGTAGTCCGAGAACACTTGAGCCTTACCAAAGTCGTCCTCCACTATTGATGCGGCAGTACTGTCTCCCCATAGAGCAGGAATATTTCCTCTTCATTTTATTTTTTGGTTTATATAGGAATGCAAGCGTTTAGGACATTCTATGGATTCCTTAACAATTTTTTCTTCGTACAACTTTCTAGACTTACGGAGGGTCAAGGCACAGGTATTCCGAGCTTTTCGATACTGAGATTTTGTCTCATCAGTCCCCAGTAACCTAAATCTATCCCACATTTTTCTTCTCTTACGGAGGATGCGGACCTTTCTGCTGAACCATGATGGAGAGTTTCTTGACCCCCTTGGTTATAATCCAAGTGATGTAGGGTGCGGTAACTTTTAAGTATAAATTTCGAAATGCGTCCCAAGCCGTTTCAATTGAGGACTCTGGGTATATTGTCCAATCTACTAACGATGCTGAGTGCATGGTATCTGGTATGTTTGCTTTCCAGACGTTAGGTCTGGATTGAGTTAACGCGTGCTCGTGATTGACAGTTATATGGAAGTCGAAAGTTGAAACTGCGTACCACTTTTACCTAGGGGTGGCGTGTAATGGAGGTTCGCAACGTCATCCTCATAGTGAGTCAATATAAGATCTAGTAAGGGTGATTCAGTGTCCGGGTCGTACCTAGTCGCTTCTTTCACATGTTGCACTAGGGCACATGTGATAACCGCATCAACTAGTTCCTGCTCGAAGGAATTTTCTGACGATTCGGTTCGCAGATTTTCCCAGTATACCATGGGTGCATTAAAATCCTCTAGGATTAGACATCGACCACTTTGTGACCAAGTATTGAGACTGCTTAGCAGGACCTCCTTTACCTCACAGCTTGGGCTGCAATAGACCAAACCAATCATCAGCTCTTGTCCCTTGCATTTCAAGCGGCAACTAACTAATTCACACGTCCCACTCTCATGGGGTACACTGTCGATAATGGCAAATGGGATAGCATTCTTAACGAATAGAGCTACTCTCCCTCCCCAAAACATATTTGCGACTAGTTTATATATATAATCAACTTTACACGTTTCATATAACGGCTTATTTGAAATGGGAATATGAGTGTTTTGAGGGGTATATTTCATATAATTGTACAGATTAGACGTATAAAATGTAGTGTTGAGAAAGGCTTTCCAGTCAACTCTATCTCACTAAGTGATTTAGCAATCGTACAGGTAGTTAAAGACAATCTAAAACGGGTAGCAAATAGAGTAAGTGATCAAAAGACGTACATACATACTCACATATAAAAGGGATCAAGGCTACTGGGACAAATATTTATGTACATGATGACTCGAGAAGTTCAGGGTAAATGACGTGAATCATCAAATGTATTAAATGGCAACACACTTTTGCTTCCAATGCAGTTTGAGAGAATCATGGTTTTGAACCAAAAAAACTCATTTAATAATAAAGATAGTTATCTAAGCATGTAGTTTGGATAGGAAATAACAGCGCTTCTTATGAACAAGAGTTGGATTGAGTCTTCTAAACTGGCAGGTCGATCAGTGTGGAAAACTTTGTGGTATAAAGTGATTTTTCAAGTTTACTTTTTGTTACATAGCTTATGCCGCGAAAATGTTTTACTGAATATCAGCGCTTCTTAGTTAGAAATAGATTGGGAACTTGATTTATTCATGATTTAAAAAACAGTAAATATTACTAACTTGCAAGATATAGCTATCACTCAGAGGTATGATTATAACTTTGGGTTTCTCCAATATTTATTTAGTGAATAGCTTTTTATTATATAAAAACGAGTGACTTTTCACTTTCTGATAAGTAGCTTTATAACTACTTATTTTACATTAGTTTCAGGTCATCCAGAATAAAGTAGAGTATACCTCCACTTTATCAAATAGCTTAATGGTGTTATTTATTTTATTTTACCTCAATGAAGGCTAAAGAAACGTATGACAGTGCTGTTGAAGAAGGGCACACAGCAATCTTGGCCGAACAGGATGAACATTGTGCTGATTTATTTAAAATGAACATCGGGAACATACCGCCAAATGGAAAGGTTGCTATAGTTCTACAATATGTTGGACTGATAGAAGGAAAAAACATGAAGACAGATACATCTAAGTTTAGCCACTCTGAAATTATCCTAACTTTGCCAAGCGTTATCAACCCGCGTTACTACCCGAAAGGTAAATAATTATGTTTTGTTTAATTTCAATCCAGAAAAAAAGAATTCCGACGAGTTTGAGCAGTTTACGGAGCTTGTGCTTGTGAATTCTGTGCCCTACACAATAACATTTGAATCTGAACTTTGGATGCCGTCAAAAATTCTGGATGTCAAATCAACACGTGATAGTTTCACTTGGAACTGTACAAACAATTCTAATCATGGCCTTGTAAGCTTCAGCATTTTTTGTTTTAATGGTCTAAAGTTGTTGTTTTATATCGATTCTAGAGGTATCAAGTATTCTGTTTTTCATTGTTTTCATGACTCGCCTCCACTGAAGGTCATATGTTTACAGAAGTAATACTACTCATTCAGAGTGGTGGTCGTGTTCATTTTAATTCACCAGAATAGACTTGTTTGTTCTAAAAATTTTAAGTTATTTTCCAATATTTTTATTATCTACTTTCGACTATGGGAATACAATTAAATTTGCTAAACATACTGTCTTGTATTATACATTCTCAAGGTGCTTCTTGTAGGCCTACCCTTTCTTGCTGAAAAAATATGCGGGACATGCACAGTGGGCTTCTAGTTATTTCATAATCCCGAATTTACGCTTTTATCGTGGCTCTTGACTTTCAAGTTTAGTTACGTTTTGCGCGAGACTAGTTTGGTCCTACATTTATCTTTAACAACTCATTCATGCATTGTAAGCATCTAGTCACTAACGCGTTGGTTGTAAAGTGGATGGCTAGTGTTTTTATCTCCCAGTTTTGTTATCAGCGGATAGCAAATAGTCTTCATCATTCAAAATAACTGTACTCGCCTAACTACTCTACTACTTGAAGTCAGTTTATAACACTACATACTAAGAAGAATTTATTATTTTATCATGCATAAATATTTCGGGTAATACAATTTGCAATAGTTAAAGAAATCAGAGATCTGCCGCAGGTTTGTGAGACAAAAAGGTTTCAATTTAGTTTGTTACATGTAATTTGTTACATGTAATAACGTTCTATCCACATGATTTGTCTTGAAACTCAAAAGATGAAATCAAAACTAGTCAGGAGATTTTTCACGCCGTCTTAACAGTATGTTTGAGATTATATAATTCCTAAGTTTTGACACGGAATTAGCACTGTAATTTTGTTTTTTGAAATGAAACCGTTAACACAATTTTCTAATAACTTATTTTTTGAAGATATCTTTAGTGTTTGATACGAGAAATGACATCTTGGTTTAGTCCTTCATGGGATAACAATCTAAAACGTATTGAGTGATGGGAGCCAGTTGATTTACTTGTTGGTTTTCCATAGCATGAAAATAAGGACTTCCCCTCGGTCACTGGGACTATGGTATGGTGGTCAAACTATTTAACTCTTGATCACTACATCTCAAGCCCTGTCTGGGCGTTAAGGCAGTGTTGATAATCGTCAAAACAATATGACTTGAAACCATGTTAATAAATCTGTAGTTGATTGGTAATTCACACGAATTAATTAATTTGATTCATGTTTTAGGTCAAACTTTCCTCTGAGTTTATACCAGATCATGATCTTCAAATGGTCCTAAGTCTTTCTGATCCACTTACATCTCTGGCATCTCTGGAATATGGTGATCCGAACCAGTCGTCTATATTGGCTATGAACTGTTTGATGGTACAGCTTTTGCCTGATATTCCTAATGTCGTTAGTTCTAAAGACATGCGATATGAGTTCGTGTTTTTAATCGATCGTTCAGGTTCGTCATTTCACTTTTTTTTATTCGTCCTACTGGATACAGTTTTGATTGTTGCTGGTTAGCTCAGTATTTTGGTGGCTTTTAACATCAAGATCACATCTAAGCATCCACAAATATTTATTTATTTATTTGAACACACAAATATTGGTACAATGGGGCACCAAATATATATGCGCCACACAAAACAATTAGAATGGAAAGAGAAAAAAGAAGAAGAATAACGACCAGATTAGTGTAAGGTAGTGTAATAGTAATAGTAACAGTGGGGCAGACGGAAAGGCATAACCAGAAGAAATCTTTCAGTTAAGGAAGATACAACCACTTTTTATGAAGAAAGTAAAAGAAGGTTACAGCATGATCGCCACTGGCTTCTATTCTGAGCCATATCTGATAACGTCTCTAGCCACTGTGTTGCACCATCTCTCGGACCCCAACCAGGGAGTGGTTAAGGACCAACAGAAGCCATCCCTTTGCAGCTTTCTTTCATACCACGACACCATGTCATACACTGACCACCTCTCCGCTTTTTCCAACCAGTCCCGGCGTCGGCGAATAATGCACGACGTGTAATTCTGTGGGACGACATTCGTAGAACATGTCCAAGCCACCAAAGTCGATGTTTCGAGATAGTGACACCAATTGGATTATCGTCTCTGTGCCTGAACACATGATGCCGAATCTCTGCATTACTAATATGGTGTTGCCACTGGATGTCACAATCTTTCGGAGACAACGATGATCAAAAATAGAGAGAGTCGTCTAACATCGTAAACTCAGAGAGGCCAAGTTTCACAGGCATAGAGCAGAACTGCTCTCACCGACGCGTTGTAGATCCGACGTTTTACAGTCAGACTGACATCACGAATGCGCCAAAGATGGCCCAGATTGGCATGAACCGCTTTGCCTTTCACTATACGTGCATTGATCTGATCACTCACGCGACCACCAGTACTTATGCAGCTACCTAGATACACGAACTTCTCGACTACTTGTATCTGCTCACCATCCAGGGCGAGTACAGGATTAGAATCCTGCCAGTCTTGTAGAAATACTTTGCACTTCGAAGGTGCAAAGCACATACCGTACCTACGGACATTGATTGCCAACTGATTAAGTGTGGATTGCATGACTTGGACATTGTCGCGGAGTGAGACAATATCATTCGCACACTCAAGGTCGAGAAGTCTTTCTCCAGGCAGCAGATCCACACTGTCATCACTTACATCCATCAGAGCTGTTTCCAGAATGTCATCGATGGCGAAGTTGAAGAGGAATGGTGAGATTGAGCGACCCTGTCTAATCACACTGCTTGAAAGGGACAATGGAGAAAGGTGGTTGTATGTCCTCACTCTGCCTGAGGTGTTTTTATATAGGGCTTTTAGGATGTTAATAAACTTCTCAGAGACACCCTTCTTCAATAGACAATCCCAGAGAACAGTCCTGTCCGACGCATTGAAGGCAGCCCTGATGTCAAGAAACATAACGATTGTTGGCCTTTGATAAGTATGACGGTGTTCTAACATTTGTTGGAGGGTGAAGATATGATCAATACATCCTCGACCAGAACGAAACCCAGCCTGCTCCTCGCGAGTCAATGTTTCTCGGGTTTTGAACAACCTACGATCTATGACGGAAGCCAGTAGCTTGGACGCGATCGGAAGTAGACTTATTCCCGGATAGTTGTTACAGAAACGACGTGAACCCTTTTTAAAGATAGGGACAACTATCGACTGATTCCATGACGTTGGTACAATCTCTACACCCAAACCTTTGTAAACAACGTCGTCAGTTTTAGCCAGAAAGTCATCGCTTTTCATGCCGATTTATTCTCACTTCGATGGAACTTTCTAATTTAACAGCACGTAAACGGCTGTTAATGGGGATCCAATCAATTAGTACTGCCTCAGCTCTAGCACTTAGTGTGACACCAACGCCAGCAAGACCAGACGAAGATGTCACAGGGTCCCGGATAAACGCATGTAAAAGTAGGTTTTCGAAGCGACAGGGTTATTTAGTACTGTGAATTACAGTGACCTGAGTGCACACCAGTGTATGTGATGCTGAGTTAACAGATAATTTATGTGTATAATCGATTTTACGACAGTACTGAATAGCATTTGCTTCGTTTATTCATGGTTCTCATAAAATATTTTAGATTGAATCCTTCACAGTGAATGTCACGAAAGCTGTCAACTAAGTTCCACCGTGTAGGGTTTCTCGTATGACCGATACTTTTTACCAATTACTGATGATCACGAAAAGTTTCGTAATTCGGTAAATTTCCACTTCACAGTATTCTGTTTTGATTGTTTTTACGTCGCCATTAACAGGAATTGAGACCCACTTTAGAAGTTTAAACTGAAGTCATTACTCTATAACTCGTTGGTAATCTCATCTTTATTATTGTCCTTAGTAAGTTGTGAATATGAATAACACAAATTTTTACTTGAATTTACAGGTAGTATGGAAGGTGATAACATTTCTTACGCTAAGACCTCCCTTCTCCTCTTCTTAAGAGCTTACCTATGAGTTGTCGTTTTCAAATTATTGGCTTCGGGAGTGATTTTGCTGCTTTATTTTCAGAGTAAGCAAATGTTATTTACAGTCAATATTGTGATGACTCATCAGCTTTCCCCAAGAATCATGTACCTTGAAGATAACTAAATAATCACTAGTATACGGAAAGATGCATGGCCATTTCCAATTCTCATACAATCAGTTCCCGTTTTCACTTTGCAAATCCAAAATCATTATTCACTCTTAGTCGAATTCGCGATCAGACATTTATAGTCGTTTTATTTAATGCATAAAATCTGTACTACAAGGCACCAGAAATAGTGATCATCATGCAAATTAAAGAGAATGTTGTAATGAAATAAGTCATGGAAAAGGAGCGTTAGAAATAAAAGCACTCTAGCAAGAATAATACATCATAAGAGAAACAGCTCGATTAAAATTACGACCGAGTTCAGTTTAGATTGTCCGTGTATCACTTCACAGCAGGACAATGTCCCATACCCAGGGTCGAAACGTTTTTCTCTGGGGAATGAATCATCGCCACAAACATGTACTTCCTTCAGAACTGAGTGTTATCGAAGTTGGGGAGAAATGGTCATATTTTACATGGCTGGATTTTAAAAACGAAGGGAAGTGATTTTATGCCCTCATTTTGCCTTCGAGAATTTAATAAACTCCTAATTTACACTGTTATTCAACAAACAATTCTAGAACATAGTCCTGTCCAACTAATTGAGGGGAGCTCTGAAATCAAGAAACAATGATTTTTGGCTTGAGATAAGTGTGGCACTGCCGTAACATTTACAGGGAGTGAGGATGCGATATGCACGTGCACGACCATAACGAACACCAACCTGTTCATCACGAGTCAATCTTTCGTGGGTTTCGAGCAATCTGCAAAGTATGGTGGAAATCAGTAGTGTGGATGAGATCAAATGTAAATTTGTCTCATTGTTGTTGCATAAGTGGCGTAGGGTCTTTTTAGGGATGGAGATGACGGTCGCCTCATTCTAAGATGTTGGAATATCTCTGTGTTCCATACCTTTTCAAACAACCCAGTCAATTCCTTGACTAGAAGTTTACCACCATCATTAAACCGAACCAGGGTCTAGGCCCGATGACTTATGGCATTTCATAACTTGGAGTTCCTAGTGAACTTCCCTCTCGTCAGGTGTATCAGTAGTTACCGACCAGCGAGTACTAGATCTTTTGACTGACGATATTGGGGCCATAGACCAGGTAAGATATTCCTCAGAAAACTCCTTCAGGAATCCATTAGATGTTACTGAATGGCGTATTATCGACTTCACAGAATTTTTAACTTGCACCAGACCTCTAGTTTCCAGTGATTCAGATAAGTTGAAATGCAGTCTAGCGTTTGACAGATGCATCTGCTGCTTTCAACTAGTTAGTACGCTACAATCACTGGGTTCCTTAGTCCTTACACAAACTTGAATCAAGAATCTACACTTACTATCAAACTCATAGTTTACCAGATGAAGATGCTCAAGGAGTTGTAAAGAGTCTGTAGAAACTGAGCGACTTAATCCACCAGTCCTACATCGTCATGCAGAGGCAGCCGATGCTCATCTACACTTTCCAGTGAACAAGTGTCTAAACTCAGTCATGACTCGGTTTGATATTTAGTTGCAGCAATAGCTGCATAAAATTTTATATGTAACCATATGATTGTAAATACTGAAGCAAAGAGAAAACATTTTCTTCAGTAGTAATCATCATAATATTTGTTAAAGATTTAGGATTCTGTTTAGTTCTTCAAACCGAATCCGGTTGTTATTCTTGGGGTCTGTTTCGTGGGCGCTTAGCCTGGAGACCTAGTCCACGATGCACGAGATGCTGTCCCATGGTGGCCGGTAATCAAAATATGTTCATATTCCATAAGTTCCTTCCTGCTCTCGCAGCTAATTTACACCATTTGTTCCCAATCAGGTTTCTAAAACTCCTTGATCTTTATTTGGTCATTGCTTCATGGTTTTGTGTCTTTGGTATTTAACATCCATTCAATTAAGGAGTGTGCTGCATTTGCTCACTTGTGTTTAGGGCTATCGTTTTTGAATTTCTGGGTGTTTTCAGCACACACTTATATGGCGGACCTCCAATATCTTAAATAAGTTTTACTTTTCAGTTTGATTTTCGATGTATTGTCTTGTATAGATTTTTAGCCATTCATTCACTCTTTACTGCGCCTTATATTTGATTCATTTGAAACTAAGCAGATCAGTTGTTCTACTAAAGTCAAAACGATTAAACTCATCGAAACTCAAGAGTACTGGGATATGTAACACAATACCCCAGTCACATCCGATGAATGCTCAATCTCACTAATCGATTTGCCAACCTATAACTAATACCCCACACCTAACCACAGTTCAACTCACTTCGTGTTATCCTCATATGCAAGCAGCGCTTTGAAAAGATCAAGTATTCACCGACTATGCATGTTTTTTACTATCACGGTGGGTGCGATGATGATACGTATGAACATAATAGTGGACTCAGGTTAATATTCGAAGTTAATCTGCTCTAATGAAATAGCTGTTTTTCGGTGTTTTGTTCACCATTATTTCTGATGGGGATAAATTTTTGTATCATTTTTATTTACTAATTCGTTGGATGACTATTTTTATTATTAGACCTACAGACTATTCTGAAGGATCGTTAAATACAGCAATGAACTATCAAAAAGACCTAAATGCTGATATGGGCGGTACAGAAGCTTACAATGCTCTAAAGTCGGCTCTACATTCAACACCGAGTGGTGAAGGTTGGTTCAAACAAATAATATTTCTTACGGACGGTGATGTGGGTAATGCAGATGAGGTAGGTTTTCTGTTTTCTTGTAATTTCTAACTCTTTTACTTGATCGAATCCCTTATTTTGAGGACTAAAGTTGTAATACAACTACCTACTGTTAACAACAAGGTCGATTGTAGTATTCACATTATGTTTATTTATTTTCTTGCTTTAAATGCCTGTTAACATTCATGATTAATCACAAAAATCAGTATTTGGAGGTAATAAATTTATTCGAAATGAAATAATTTGTAATTACATAACTTTTTATGCTAGTGTGAAGTAAGCCTAGTTGAGTAGAAGTGGATGTGATGGTGGTCGGTTTAGTTGTTATATGTATTGGTCTTCAGAACTTTATACAGCTATGGCTTAATAGGATAAAATTTCGAATGTATTCCTTTGTATTATAGATTGTAAATCTAATGTGTTTCAGACACCTAGTTAGCATCTGTTTACCTTTTATACAAGCGTATTTCAAACATAATACTTAAAATTGTGTTAGCTTCCTGATTATCAACAACTTCAAACTATTTAATTAATAGAGGGATAAATATATTCCAATATGACATTAAAGTGAGACTGCTTCATCACTAAAAATCAGTTTATAAGTATCACCACTATGGTTTGACTTAATACTTTCAAATACATAAGACATTAGTTAAATTATTCATAGTAATAAGACAAAAATGTGTTTTTAACCCTCCAGTGAGTAGAACTTCCAAATTTTAATGTTGCATGACTTCACATAAGTCTCCTTTGGTGAAAATCGTTGGAAATTCAATTTCCTATTCAGCAGAATATTAAGAACAAAATGTTTCGGTGAAAATTATTGATTCACTAGGACATGACAAACGTATTATTATACATTTTTATAAATATCAATCTGCGTTAGTGTGATTAAATAAACTCTATTACACTATGAACTACTGAGATTATTCAATTATAAACTAAATTAAGGCAATTAAGGGCTTGTTCAAAATTGAAGTTTATTAAAGTACCTTATAACTAATTTCTGTTATTCATCAATATTTACTTCATAAATATTTAGGTTATCGGTTTGGTACGAATGAACGTTGACAAAGCCAGAGTATTTACTATAGGGCTTGGACAAGGAGTAAGCACTGCACTAATCGGTGGTGTTGCTCGAGCTGGCAATGGTACAGCAGAATTTGTCGTGATCCGTAAGTGTTTGTTTTTCTGTTTTTCTATAGTGCATCATTTTCTTTTTATCTATTTTAACTCTTTTCTGAATTGTATTTCAGTGGCACTTTAGTTATGCTAGTCTTATTTCTCTTTTGTTATGTATTTGTTATTCTACTAACCGTATTCGTACAGTGTTCCATCCGTGTTAAGGTTGGTCAAGCCTTATCGGGTGAAGCCGATTGGGTTTTGCAAGGCTCGCAAACCTACCGCGTGGATGTGATTTTGTGAAAATCCGTTACCCCTAGTTCTTGGCCCACGGGCATCACACCAGGGCAAGTTTATTCTACATGCATACTGGAAACTTGTAAGTTTTCACTCATGCGTCCTTTGACATACGCATAGATATACGTTACACGCACACCAGTAGCACACAAGTTTCTACTCATACATCCCCTATCATACATATAATATATTCACCCAGCTGGGAGGGTAGATGGTCAGTCACCGCTCCCTTCAAACCTATTTGCTACAACTGACCGTCACTTACGCATTGCATACGTATCAATGGTATAAAGGCTTTCTTCCCATAGACCGCTCAAGTCAGCTAGTAAGGTTGTCCCTACTTCCCAGCAGCGCTGTGGAAAGGCTTTAGGTCAGACTTTGCTGCCATAATATTAGATTTTATTCATCAATTGATGTTTATGTTGTGATCGAGCTAGTTAATTTCCTCTTTAAGAAAAATACTTAAGGAAATAATGATTACTTACAGTTCGATATTTCATGAGACATAAATTAGAGTGATAAGTTCATTCACTTTACAAATGATTCGCTACAATAAATGTTGCATTCCTAAGCCCACTACAAAATTATGGTCTTATCATTTTCTGGATAATAAATATTTAACTGTCAATGGATTAGTAAACAGAAGCCATTATCGATTTTCTTTAGGCTTTAACTAACGGATATACGTGGTAATGAGAATCTGTTGAATTATTTAAGTACTTCCTATGGTCTCAAAGAGTGTCATTTATGTTTATGTGAATTTTACTTTGTTCAAACACTGGTTTTCACACTGAATAAAGTGTTTTTGTGTAACAGGCATGATCGAAGTTGTAGTTAAGTCAATAAAAAGCGAGACGAACAGAATATATCCATCAATATAAATAAGTCTTGTTGGATTTTACCTGGAAATAAATGGCATGATGGATCAGATATTTATTCCATTTTATCGCAATTTGGTACGATGAAGCCTGTAAAATACCTGGTGGCTGTATTACCATGTATCTCTTCCTGTCTTGGTCAACTCTCATATATGTAGATTCATGTATAAATTTTGTGGTTTTAATATATTCAACTATTTTCAATTTAGCTCTCAACTTCAGTCAGCTGTGATGAGGACTCTTTCAGCTGCATTACAGCCAAGAGCTGATAATATTGAAATGGATTGGAAGCTAGTCGAGAAATTTCATGATGGCAAGGAGAAACCAATTGAAGTGGTAGTTGTTCCCAAGCAAATGGCTCCAATATTTCCCGATCGGTTCTCGACATATTTCGGTTTTTTCAAATCTGGTTAGTAAATGTAGTCATATTTGCGATTATCCAAAATTTGTAATTTAAAAATCAGTCTTCATTACGGCATATGCAACTACTGATAACCTGTTTGTGTTGGTATATACTGTTAGTAACACTTATTTCAAGTTATTTGTAGTAGGTATTTATTTATTTATTTATTTGAACAAATATATATTGGTACAGGAATGCGCCAAATATATATGCGCCACACAAAACAATGAGAATTTAGGAAGAAAAAAAGGTGAGGAATGTAAAAGAAATTAAAAAAAAAACAGGAACGAAGAGATTGGTGTAAGGTAGTGTAATAATAATAATAATAATAGTAATAGTAGGGGAACAGAAGGGTACAATCAGAAGAAATCTTTCAGTTAAGGAAGATACAACCACGTTTTGTGAACAAAGTAAAAGAAGGTTACAGCATGATCGCCACTGGCTTCTATTCTGAGCCATATCTGATAACGTCTCTAGCCACTGTGTCGCATCATCTGTCGGACCCCAACCAGTGAGTCGTGAAGGACCAACAGAAGCCATCTCTTTGTAGGTATACTTATGTGAGCCTTTCTGCCACTGTTTTTTTATCGTACCACTATCTCTCACCGACAATCCACTACGATATATGTTTGATTTCTCAGTTATTTCTAAATAACAATTAACGTAATAACTATCTGAAGTATGGCAGAATAGGTAAGTAATCACTATCGGACTAACTGATAAAGAGCTGTAAATTCTATAATAGTCCGACGAACACTATGACAATTAATTAAAGGTATATTTGAGATAGCACAATGAGTAGAAATTTGAATTTCCGAAGTTTCATAACTTAGTGTAAACCACTTCTTCACAGTAAACAAGTAAATAACTAGAATTAGTTAACAAAGGTTCAAAGGGGCGATATATACATATATATACATATACATATACAAACATAACTTCCATAACAAACAGTTAGAAATAAAAACTATAAGGGAGTAGATGAAATTTGCTTAGAGAACTTCTGGATCTATCAGCCAACTGTGATTAGTTGAAAAGAAAATAATAAGCATGTTCAAATTATTCTTTCATTGAATTTGTAAACCTGTTTCGTTAAGAATAGACTATCTATCTAACAGTTGAAAGCTGATAAAGTGGTATCATGTCATAGTTGCATAAATATGCTTTAGTCATTCAAGAAAGTAATCTATCAACCTTTAACAGGTAATCAATCGATATGCGCCATCAATATAAGAATTTATGTTAATTTGGTTAATTGAATTCGTTTCATGCATCTCAGTTACATTTTAAAAAAATAGTATTTTCTAATTCTCTTTCGTCTTTTATTTATACAATAGATAAATCATCAACTATCCAAGGACAAGTAAATTTCAATTGTAGTGTACTAGGTGAAAAGAAATCATTCATAGTTAAGTATATCGAATGCTGATATTGTTTAATGACAAGTTGAATTGTTCTGGAAGTCTACCGTTTCATCGGCTAGCAGGAAATATGCGAATGAATGAACTTATAGATGGATACCATAGTATACAATTAAATGAAATGAATGAGAAAAATGAAACAGAACTGAAGTCCATACGTCAACAAGTTGAAGATTTATCATGTCAATTGAATATATTATCAAAATTCACTTCTTTGGTCGCTGTAGATCCAATCAAGTTAGGTAATTAATATGAATTTCATTAGTACTATGGTAAAAGTTCCTGTTCATTTCATGTAGTTTACCTTCCATCACTTGTCTTAATATGATTAGAATTACCTTAATTCATTGCACAAAATAAAGCATGGTGGATTTCTTTCACCATTTTACTACATGTATTACTCTTCTGATTGCTTTTTTTTCTATTTTAGATGTTGATCCGAAGGAAAGAGTTAAAGTCACTGTACCTCGTATGTTCCGTCGTTTCTCTGGTATGATTCATTAAACAATTATTCCGTAATGTTCATTTGTATGATTACTTTAATAATGAATTAAGATTTTATGGATTTATTAAATCAGTCTAACTTCAATGGGGCGATTCAAACAACCAGTACAAAAATGAATCAGTCCAACGTTTGTTTTTGTCCGACTGGTGTATATTTATTTGTAAAGACTTTCTCGTAATTTACTTTTGGGATTAAACACAACATGAACAAAAGGTTTATGACTATTGTGTGTTAGGTTGATTTCTCGCTCACTATATGTCTGTAATTCTGACAAGTTTTGTATCATAAACTACCCAGCTTGACGAAGTGATTAAATGTTCATGTCATTACGAATCGACTGAGCTATATTATTTGGAATATCTCTCCCTTGATACTCTTCTATCTAAGGTAGGTTGGTTGAAAAACATATCAAAGAAACCACATAAATCTGCTGAGAATCATTAGTTGGGAAATTATGGGTCAGTCAGGGTTTACGATGCACTAATATTTGAATCATCTCCATCAAATAGTGTCCGTCATCATTGTCCATTTTCTTCATCTTCACCAAATCTTGTCACATATATGATCATTTTTAAACTTGACTTTAAATTTATTGATCTCGAACATAAAAACCGCACTGACTAAGTACGTAGGTAAAAGCCTGAGTGGCGAGAATGGATGTTTGCGATGCACATCTCTTCCTATAGATTCGAAATATTACTCCGAGACTGGTCTTCATCAAATAAGGGTTGAGTTGGCGTACTCATACCAGTTGTCTTGGAGTTTCACTAGCTGTAACGAGGTTATAGGTCAACGAACTCTAAATTAAGAGCTAACGGTCTCTTCATCATTTGCTAGTTCACGTCAAACTTCGAGCTAGAAAGATGTTCATCTTTCTATCAAAAGATGGGTATACTATACACCACCTTGTGCTTTATTACTTTGTAATTATGAAAATTGTCTTCAGAGGTCGATGGTGTACTTATATTGGTATTCTGGATTACAGGTGTCTTCTAATCCTGTTCATTTGTATTGGAAACAGCAAATAACTGTTTTGGATGTGTAGATTACTAGTCAAAGATGATAAATCAGTTTACAAATATTCGATCTTCCATCTACTAATCTAAATGGAGTTAGTGTTTTGTATGTCTAGGAATTGCCTGCTCTTAAGTACCGTCTTGGCTAGAGTAAAAGCAGTTGAAAACGACTATTAGGAGCGACTATATCGAGCCAAGAGGATTAATTACAGGGAGACATTGATTGATAGCCTGAGCTTTGTTTAAAGGTGCATACTTTACTGTTAGACTTGCGAAGTAGTCGTCATATTTATTTAAACACCCTGAAAGACGTTCTTTAATAACACTCGAATAATACCAGACGCATCGATACTTTACTTTTCTCCGGTGCGTAGTATAATTCTATCCATTCGTTCCTTTTTAAAACTATATTTATTTTATCCCTACCACTACCTACCTACCATTCTTACTTTCTTTAATACTCTCGTTTTATTGACGTTAAGTACAGTATCACGAACTGCTAAACATATATACCAAGTCCTGCTGTGCTTATGATTAATTGATTATCAACTGAATCATTATCTATCGATATATTAGTAACGTTGCATATTGATTTTATGTTGATGCTTTCTCTGTGATTAAAATTAGTACATTGTGAAAAGTATTTTAAATGTAATTGATTTTATTGTTACTCGGCTGTTTACAATATAAGTGCATAAATACAATAATTATTTCTTATGACCTTATAATATCCATGCGAATGTATATTGCATAATATTTTTTTTAAATGTCGAAATACTATTCTTATTTGCTAACATTATAATCCTTTCAATTCGTTTAAAATTCTCATAGCATCATATGACAAAGTCAGCTCAGATTTTTCTGATAATAATTTATTGTTTACTAACTGATATTATGACTAAAATGTTTATACCAATGTTTGTATCATTAAAACTATTAAATAACATCCATATTACATTTTTCATGTGTACACCTTTCTTTTTTACTGTCTTTATTCTTCTTAGTTGCACAAATATCAATGCCTACAGGGAGTATTTGTTATGATACCTTAGATGGTAGTAAGTTTATTGCAGTGTTGATATATATATTGCTTAGACTTATCGATAAATTTCACTATGCATAGTATTCGACTTTTGAATTTGTTAACTGTCTTTTAATCATACATAGCAAATCAAAATTTGTGCTTATTTTTGTTGATAGAATGACCCAATAACTCATTGCTTTTTTATTGATACACGTAGACAATTAATAAAATAAAGTGTTATATAAGATGGTTCAGTGTAATTTTGGCCTAAAATGTCATCCTATTTAGCTATATTTGTAAAATAGTTGTTTTTGCTTTTTGCAATGCATTTGGTTAGAAAATAAAGTCTTGCTTGTGTTTATTTAAGCAACATTGTCATCATCAATATTGATGAATTTCTCAAGTCATGCCGTTTCCCACGTCAGTTCTTAAAGTCTTTACGCTCATTTAAACTTCCGCCTTCTCTTAAAAATCTTCGACGCATCACAAAATCTCACATTGAATCAACAAAGTTACTGATTGAACGTTTGAGGGCAGAAACTAATGCCTTTGATGAATTAATCAACAATCTAAGTATCGTATGTCGCATAAAATTTATCAACTTTATACAAGATCTGCAAAGCAAAATATGCAAGAATTTCCACGTAACTTTGTCAAAGACTCTGTCAAAGGAACAATTATGTTTTGGCTTTCCGGAAAACCCCGAAAAGTTTCTCTATAATCTATCAACAATGAAGTTAAATCAGATAGAAACAGAAGCCTTGTCACTTGGATTTAAATTTCATATCCCCAAAACACATGCCGACAGAATCGACACAGAAACTCAATTTGAGAATTTATTTGATCAAATTAAAGAGTTGCACCCAGTTAGTGAAGAAAAGAAAGGCTGGTTTAAATCTAAACTAGTCGATATTGCAAACCAATATCTTGTTTCACCCGCACCACAGTCTAAGCTTTTATCCAAAGACCACCAAACAGCATTACGAAATATTAAACGAAATGACGATATAATGATATTACGGTCAGACAAAGGCTCAAGTGTTGTTCTAATGAACAAAACAGATTATGTTTTTAAGATGAAGTCCATCTTGAATGACCATATGAGATTCAAGTTAGAGAAAAGTAACAAAGACTTAACTGATTCCATTGAGAAAAGAATCACCAAAGTACTCAGAGATCTTCTGAAAAAGAAGATGATCGATAACTCTACTTACAATAATCTACGACCTCGTGGGTCTCGTTTGCCCCACATGTATGGATTACCGAAAATACATAAACAAGGTTATCCTCTTAGACCTATTTTGTCAATGATCAATTCACCATACCACAAAGTTGCACGATGGTTGGCAGATAAGTTAGAACCAGTGCGTCAACGATTAGCCACCTATACACTAAAGGATTCATTTGTATTTGCTGACAGCATGAATCACATAAATATTGCCGGTAAGTTTATGGTTTCTTTTGATGTAACATCTTTGTTTACAAAAATACCACTTCTTGAGACCATAGACATAATTTGTCAACATTCTGACATCCTACCTCTACCAGTACCAGAATTCAAACGACTATTACTCATTTGTACAAAAGATGTTCAGTTCCAGTTCAACGATATCATATACAAACAAACCGATGGTGTAGCGATGGGAAGTCCGTTAGGTCCTGTCCTAGCAGATATTTTCATGGCTAACCTCGAAAGAACCAAACTCAAACGAGCGATTGATGAAATGACGTATTATTCGAGGTATGTTGATGATACCTTCATCGTATGTAATAATAAACAACATGCAATAAATCTGCTAGAGTTTTTCAACGAAGCACATCCGAATATCCATTTCACTATGGAACATGAAAAAGAAAACAAGTTCCATTTTCTCGATATCGCGATGAAAAGAAGAAAAGATGGTACAGTTCAACGTTCAGTTTATAAGAAAGACACATGGAATGGTAGTTATCTTAATTTCAATAGCTTTTGTCCAATCAGTTACAAAAAGGCACTGGTCAAAACACTGTTTTACAGAACAGAAAGAATATGTACTTCCGATACACTAGAAGAGGAAGTTATGAATGTTAAAAAATGTTTAAAGAATAACGGATACCCACTGAAATTTATTGAGAAATACGGCAAATGTGAAGTTAAAAAGCCGAAAGAAATTACAGCAAATAAAAAGCCTATTTTTATTAAACTTCAATTCAAAGGTGACGATGTCACAGGATCAATCAATATGAGACTAAAAACTGCACTGACAAGAACTTATCCTGCAGCGAAATTGATTGTCCTGTCCAAAACAACATGTTCTTTGACACAATCAAAGGTCGATAGGTATCCCTTTCATGTTACCACCAACTGTGTATACAAATTTACATGTACCTGCCAAAGCAGTTACATTGGTAGAACAGAAAGGAGAGCCTACGTCCGATTCAAAGAACATATTCCGAAAAGTTTAAGGTTAAATGGATTGAACGCATTCAACAGTGCTATCGCAAGACATCTCCTTGATACAGGACATAAAGCTGATATACTGAAGTCCTTCAAGGTGATTAACAAACAATCAAACTCGAACCTTTTGAAATTCGCTGAAGCGTTAGCAATCAAACGTTTAAAACCAGATCTATGTATACAAAAAGAGACAGTAATAAATCTTTCTTTACCCTGGTAACAATAACCCCCACTCTTTCTATTAATTTGCTCCTATTTATTTATTTATTACGTCATTATTGCAACTCTTTCTGAAATATAAATTACATCATACATAACTGATTGATTTCAATTCATATTTTCTTTATTACCATTAATCTATTTTCATGAGTTCTAATCACTATTTCAATGTTCTGGAACTTTCCCTCTCAAACTTTATTTATTTATTCGAATCAAACATTTTATGAGCTCATTAACTCTATCTGAATATTCGCTACATCATCATACACATGTATTGATCCTTAATCACACTCTTATATATAAATATGTCAATATCTGTAATAATGTTGAATTTTAAATAATTTAGGTTGTAAGCAGCTGATGAGAACCTAACGAAATAAAATGAATTCATATTATTCTGCACCAATCTTTGTTCTTGCTCTATTTAAGATAATAAAGGGAACTATGTGTATGAAAAATTGTATTCATGTTAGTCTTAATTAAATATTTTATAACTGTTTAGTCATTTGTTTAACTTATTTTTCACTTGAATATTTTGTAATTTAATAGTTGAGATCATGAGTCAATTGAAGCTAGACCACCATGGAAAGACTGGAAGCACTGGACGGCCGTTTCTTCCTGTTGTGGCACTCTTCAGCAGTACGCATACATGGTGGTCCAGCTTCAATTGACTCATGATTTCAAATATTAAATTACTATAAGTATCCACAAAAACCCTTTCATCTACTGGGAATTTCATTTTGTAGATTTAATATAATCATTATTCATGTTCATAAACGTTACTTCCTTGATATGTCTTTATTTTATCGATTTTATTGTTAATATTCTATACTTATACAGATTTCGATGGAGCTGTTGGACGCTGTGGTAAGTTAGCCTCCTTCCCATATTACTTTAATGATTTGAAGTATTGAAGCATCCACGTTTTTTGCTTTATCTCTTTTATAAGTCAGTAAGAGTGTATACTGTTTATTTTTACACGCACGCGCATGTATTGATATACCGTCTTAATATGTCACATCGTGTTTAGTGATAATGGGAAATAGTGAAACAAATTTTATCAAATGATCTTATATGTCATATTGTTTTATACCTAAGCACAGATGGCACGTGTACTAAAATTCAAACTTCATTTATTAAAGCGATGGGTATCGTAATTCACTTTACGAATCCAAAGATATTTGAGATTCCGATGTGAAAGTTAATACTTGGACAAATTATACTATTTCACTATGGTTCATATTGTATAAAAAAAAGTTAACCTAGAAATCTCCAATCCTTCCTCAAAGGTGCATCATACATTTACCAAGTAATAGTGATTTAGGAAAAATCTAAAATCCGAATAAAACTTTAAAATATATCAAACGATATTATACATTGACAATACTGTAAAATGAATTATATCAATAACTGACTAATAGAGTATATGAGAGATATATTCTTTCCAATATGTACTACATTGAAGTTGAGATGACTGAATATCGCTAATTGATTTACATCAATTACAGGGTTTTTTTCTTGTACGAGTGTGCATCATCCCAAAAATTGGAAAATTATGTAATGTAATTGAAATAAGGAATACCGATCACATTAAACGTATTATGAATATACACATGAAGGTGAAATGGAAGTTATCGTCTTCACACAAAACAAAATGATTATTTACAATTATCTTTTATTATTGGCTAATTTTTAAAGTCCAACGCGTCCAAGATAACTCACATTGGAAGATAGTGTTTGTAATATTTATCTTTGTTGGTTATTATTTATTTATTTGAACACATAAATATTGGTACAAGTGGGCATCAATATATATCGTCACTGGCTTCTATTCTGAGCCATAACTGATAACGTCTCTAGCCACTGTGTCGCACCATCTGTCGGACCCCAACCAGGGAGTCGTGAAGGACCAACACAAGCCATCCCTTTGCAGCTTTCTTTCATACCCGGACACCATGTCATACACTGACCACCTCTCCGCTTTTTCCAAACAGTCCCAGCGTCGGCGAATAATGCACGACGTGTAATTCTGTGGGACGACATTCGTAGAATATGTCCTAGCCACCGAAGTTGATGTTTCAAGATGATGACACCAATCGGATTATCGTCTCTGCGCCTGAATACACGATGCCGCACCTCTGCATTACTGACATGGTGTTTCCACTGAATGTCACCAATCTTTCGGAGACAACGATGATCAAAAATAGAGAGAGTCGTCTAACATCGTAAACTCGGAGAGGCCAGATTTCACAAGCATAGAACAAAACTGCTTTCACCGACGCGTTGTAGATCTGTTAGGATATTCGGGAAAATGTACCAATAATTATCATGTTTAGTGTAGTGGTGTCCTTGGACGTTAAATGGACATTCCCTGTTGGTCGATATTTGTTTCGCTCGTTAAATATTGTACAAATGTTGTTTCCTATTTTATGGTACGATGTGATCTGTTTGGCTGGTATATAAACAGAGGCTAAGACTTGCGTTCTGGACTCAACTGGCTGGGCTAGACAGGGAAGCAGGGATAATCGAAGCTCTAGGCCGTTCGTGCGTGTTTTTACGTGTCATTGATTCGGTCGATAAATACGCTGCGCATTAAATCTGCAATACTCTCGTTACAACAAGATCCGACCTTTTACAGCCAGACTGACATCACGAAGGCGCCAAAGATGGTCCAGATTGGCATAAGTCGCTCTAGCTTTCACTATACGCGCATTGATTTCATCACTCACGCGACCATCAGCACTTATGCAGCTACCTAGATACACGAACTTGTCGACTACTTCTATCTGCTCACCATCCAGGGTGAGTACATGATTAGAATCCTGTCAGTCCTATAGAAGTACTTTTCACTTCGAATGTGCTAAGCACATACCGTACCTATGGACATTTTCGACTTATACAGCAGCTCGCTTATAGTGGAAACTCGGTTGTATCTTTGTTGGTACATTATTCGTTATCATGGAGATCAACACCTTGCTCTTACTCGATTGTAAATTATTTTGTAAGATCTTCAGTTCAAATCATATCTATACTAAAACGCATAGTTCACTGTAGTAGTAATTAGAGTATTTCTATTACATTTTATTTTGAATGAGTAAAAGTAACAATATTAGTTGTAACTATCCTAATATTGTCTGTTACTAATTACATTCCTTTGATTACTTTTTATTATTTTAGATACATCAAAGTGCGCTTACACTGGTTCGTTAGGTTTTGATACAGACATGTGTGCTGAAGGTAGGCTCGTCATTATCTTTTAATTACCTGCTTACTTACGCCTGTTACTCGCAATGGAGCATAGGCCGCCGACCAGCATTCTCCAGCCCACTCTGTCCCGGGCCTTCCTTTCCAGTTCTGTCCAATTTTTCTTCATGGGGTGGCTAACCCCATGCCCAACCCTCCTCCTTTATCCGGGCTTGGGACTGGCAGTAGCCTCAGAGGGTCTCCAGGTGGAGTTTTTTAATTACCTAGAATTCACTATCGATTGTAATGACAACTAAACTTATCACAGCTAATACATTTTGTCTCTTTATGGTTCCAAATACACCTAAACGATAAGTGTCAACATTATTTCAATCTAGGTTTCCAGTCAATATAATTAAAAACGTATAAAAGAGTATAGTGTACTTACTTAATGCATGCGTTTTTATAGAAACCCTGCATATGTAATAAATTGTTTTACAGAATAATATTCTGTAAATTGTTTATTCGTGTCATGTGTACAATCACATTTCTGAAATAAATAACATTCAATCTCTTTTTTTTATTTACTATACTCAAATTAATCTATTTCTTCAATCTGAATAACTATAAAATAATTGGGAATTTTAATCATATCAGTACTACTTTAAAATCATCATTTAAAGTAGTCATGTTAATTTTTTTTATAAAAAAAACCCCAGGTTATTTTGAAGCATTATTATACTATTGTCTAGTGTACCTGTTTCAATCATTTGAAGAGATTTATCAAGGTGTTTTCATTCATTAAACTAGTTACGTGACTAAGTTCTCTAGTTCCCCTTTCCCCCCCCAAAAAAAAACTGCCTCATAATTAGTGCAAACCTTTAAACATATCCTCATTAAAACTGTTTAAATGTAAAACTCTCATAAAATAAATTGTACACTTGTTTCTTATTTGTATGCTTGTTAACTAATGGTATATTATATCAGCTTTATATTGTGGCAAGCCATTTGGCCTCTGTATCATTTGTCTATTCATTGTAACTCAGACTCTTAATTCACTATGTTAATTTCGGTGTGTATGATCGAATCCATGTCTGTACATAACTCTTAAGCTATCCTCCTATTGGTTTCAATGGCAGATAATCGATAATTTATCCACACCCGATTAACTCTCAAAAAAATATATGGATTTTAAACACACTCACTCACTCTGTTTCATCGTGTGCTGCTCACCGTACGCTGTGGATTTTTATTAATCATTAACAATAAACTATCTCTATAACTGGTGTTCAGGCTTCTCAATAATCTCGAGTATATCCGTAATTCTACTAGGAGATTAAGCTTACCTAAATACTCAGTTTACGGGATATTATTTATTGAGTCAGATATTGAAGACATTAGCCTCAAGAATATCAACCAAATCATATACCATATGAAAGTGACATAATAATAGTTTTAAGTTAGGCTGATTATTTATCTAATTTCCTTTATGATAATATTTTTGTCTTATTAATATTTTTATTTGTTCTGGATCTGTTTTAAGACAATCACTATCTATTACAACATGTGATCTATTAATATTTCACTATATGATATTCTTTCAAACAATTAATATGCAAGGTATTTGATTGCATGACACATTACAGCTAATAATATTTCTAGCTAATTGAATATATCATGTATTTTGAACTCCCCATATTGCTAATGTTGCTCAGTGTAATAAATTTTTATTATCATAGATAGAATATTGACTTTGTAGGATTTTGTACAAATACAATAGAAAGTTTTACTAAGTGACGTGATTCGACGACGCATCAAAAATCAAGAATCACAAGACGTATCGCGTGCCAGTTTGAAACTTTACAACTATGTGTATTGATAGCCTAACACTGATGTGAATCTAATATCGTATGGTTCATATTAAGCAGGATATACTTTAGGTATTGAGCTTGTTGATACTGGTCTTTATTTCTTAATGCAATCAACTAGTTTGTATATCACGATCCTGGCCCAACGTTGTTGATAGGTGACTACCTGATTCTTGTATTGCTTTACTTAAAGCTAAACATTACACTTCTTGGTAGTCTAATTAACTAAACGTTTTATTTATTCTCAGTGACTATGTTATGTTGCATGATCCAGACGATCATTGCAATTGTTTAGCTAATTTATATTTTCTGTGAACATTGGCATTAAAAATGCACTCACAATTGACCAATCGTTTACACAAATTGAGTCAACAATCGATTAGTTAATTTTATTCGGGAATGACTCTATTCGAACGTGACAGGATGATCTTTAGATATGTGCTACAATTTAGGATATGTTATAAGTTGTGGCCCTGTTCGCCTATCAGTATATGACGTAATGGTACCGCCAATTAGAGAACAGTGAATTATCGACAGGACCAATGTCGCATAAAACCCGTGCGAGTAGTCTAAAGTCCTTATCGGTCCTTCTCTCTGCCTGTTAGATTCCAGAACACCAATCTCAGCCTCTGCGATATGAATCATTTTTCCAAACATACTGGGTTCATATGTAAACCAAACAGACCACAAGTACCATAAAATAGAAAATAACATTTGTGCAAGATCTAACCAAATGTGGCTGTGAATGTGGTGGACTGCAATTAAGTAAACTGGGCAATACTCAAGAACGGTAAATCATATAATAATAGTCTATGAGTTAAAATAAAGCTTTTAATAAGAGGAGTATGAATATACACAGCTGTTACTTAACAATTATAAATAAACCTATATATGTAACGTATCGGTCCATAGACATTTCTCAAAAGTTACCACTCATAATTCTCGTCAGGATAGGATACATGAAATATTCATCAGTCAGTTCAAGATTTAAGTTATGCACAATTTAGCGAGTAAACTGTTTTGACTTCCAAAATGTATTAGATTAATATAAACTAGATGTCAAATTGTTTTGCATAAATTGGAACTCGTAAGTCATCATTAAATAAATAATACTGTTTAACTAAAAAGTAGAGATTATTGAATCTTAATTAATTTATTGAAGTTAGATAGAATATTCAATATTTAATAAAACGGACAAATTGTGTTCAGTATAAATTTCACTGAAGTATTCACTATGTCTTTTGACTCAATAGTGTATAAAATTAAATCGACTGTGAAAATTAATTTTTACAATAAATTTTTCAATCGTTTAATATTCATAAATTATTTAGTTATAGAACTGATTTTATCATACTTGTGTTCTATTAGTTATCTTCGTACAATTATTTATAATTCTAATAGTTGAGATCATAAGTCACAATTGAAGCTAGACCATTATGGAAAACCTGGAAGCACTGGACGGCTGTTTCGTCCTGTTGTGGCACTCTTCGGCAGTACGCATACATGGTGGTCCAGCTTCAATTGAATCATGATTTCAAATATTAACTTAATATAATATCCACAAAAACCCCTTTCTGATATTTTGTAATTGCTAATTCATTGAGTATTATCTTGGTGTTTTACGATTAGTTTAACTAATTGTATCTTTTCATCTACTGGGAATTTCATTTTGTAGATTTAATATAATCATTATTCATGTTCATAAACGTTACTTCCTTGATATGTCTTTATTTTATCGATTTTATTGTTAATATTCTATACTTATACAGATTTCGAGGAGCTGTTGGATGCTGTGGTAAGTTAACCTCCTTCCCATATTACTTTAATGATTTGAAGTATTGAGGCATCCACGTTTATTTTTACACGCACGCGCATGTATTGATATACCGTCTTAATATGTCACATCGTGTTTAGTGATAATGAGAAATAGTGAAACAAATTTTATCAAATGATCTTATATGTCATATTGTTTTATACCTAAGTATAGATGGCCCGTGTACTAAAATTCAAACTTCACTTATTAAAACGATGGGTATCGTAATTCATTTTACGAATCCAAAGTTATTTGAAATTCCGATGTGAAAGTTAATACTTGGACAAGTTATACTATTTCACTATGGTTCATATTGTATAAAAAAAGTTAACCTAGAAATCTCCAATCCTTCCTCAAAGGTGCATCATATATTTACCAAGTAGTAGTGATTTGGGAAAAAAACTAAAATCCGAATAAAACTTTAAAATACATCAAACGATATTATACATTGACAATACTGTAAAATGAATTATATCAATAACCGACTAATAGGGTATATGAGAGATATATTCTTTCCAATATGTACTACATTGAAGTTGAGATGACTGAATATCGCTAATTGATTTGCGTCAATTACAGGGCTTTTTTCTTGTACGAAACGTAAGGTACGAGTGTGCATCATCCTAAAAATTGGAAAATTATGTAATGTAATTGGAATAAGGAATACCGATCACATTAAACGTAATATGAATATACACATGAAGGTGAAATGGAAGTTATTCGTCTTCACACAAAACAAAATGATTATTTTACAGTTATCTTTTATTATTGGCTAATTTTTAAAGTCCAACGCGTCCAAGATAACTCACATTGGAAGATAGTGTTTGTAATATTTTTCTTTCTTGGTTATTATTATTATTTATTATTTGATCACATGAATATTGGTACAAGTGGGCATCAAATATATATCGTGACTGGCTTCTATTCTGAGCCATAACTGATAACATCTCTAGCCACTGTGTCGCACCATCTCTCGGACCCCAACCAGGGAGTGGTGAAGGACCAACACAAGCCATCCCTTCGCAGCTCTCTTTCATACCCCGACTCCATGTCATACACTGACCACCTCTCTGTTTTCTTCAACCAGTCCCAGCGTCGGCGAATAATGCAGAACGTGGAATTCTGTGGGACGACATTCGTAGAACATGTCCTAGCCACCGAAGTCGATGTTTCAAGATGATGACATCGATTGCATTATCGTCTCTGCGCCTGAATACACGATGCCGCACCTCTGCATTACTGACATGGTGTTGTCACTGGATGTCAGCAATCCTTCGGAGACAACGATGATCAAAAATAGAGAGAGTCGTCTAACATTGTAAACTCGGAGAGGCCAGGTTTCACAGGCATAGAGCAGAACTGCTCTCACCGACGCGTTGTAGATCCAACCTCTTACAACTAGACTGACATCACGAAGGCGCCAAAGATGGTCCAGATTGGCATAAGTCGCTCTAGCTTTCACTATACGCGCATTGATTTCATCACTCACGCGACCACCAGCACTTATGCAGCTACCTAGATACACGAACTTGTCGACTACTTCTATCTGCTCACCATCCAGGATTAGAATCCTGTCAGTCCTGTAGAAGTACTTTTCACTTCGAATGTGCTAAGCGCATACCGTACCTATGGAAACTCCTCAGCAGTGTGCATCCACTATCCCGTCTCGCGAGCGCTCAACCATTAAACCACTGAGCCGGTATCCGACGGTGTTAATGTCTAACTTCAACCAATCCACGAAATTGAGCCACACAATCTAATGAGAAGCAGTGACCAGTGGAGTTCAACCGGATCTGTTGTGAGATAGTAACTCACTGAAGACAATGTTGGATGTGTCGCTCAGTTTCGTGGATTAGTTGAGGTTAGTTATTAGCAACATTGGATGCTGGCCGGGGGTTAAGCATTCGCGCGAGATCGATAAATCCTGGGTTCAAATCTCACGAGGCCGGATCGTGGATGCGCACTGCTGACGAGTCCTGCTTCGAGGTTTTTCATGATAATATAGCTCCAATTGACTCATGATCTCCAACTATTAAAATTACTATAGTATCCCACAAAACCTCTTCTGAAATTATACATAAAACCGATAATATTCCATATATTTTGTCTTTCCATCTTGTTATTTAGATCAATTTCAGGAAGTTCAACCAGTTAAAGTTATGGAAAAACATATAAGACTTGCTGAATTACAAAGTTTTTCAGGATTCTGGAAATTAAATTCTGATTTATCTGAATGTTTTGAAATACCTCTTGATAATTTGACAGAGTTTTTAAAACAAACTGGTAATTTTAATGAATTCATTTAAAGTTTTTAACTTATGTTTATATGATCTTTGTTATTTCGGTTCAAAATTCAACTAGCAATTAGTTTTCGGTATTGTTTGGCAGTTGAGTTTATTAAAGTGTTGCACCAAATAGAACGGTTAACTTTGTACCCATGTGATTACATTTTTTCTTTATTTACTACTCGAGTAAATATATTTATAATTGTTAAATAGATTTCGTCCCCACAGTAACAGTTTGATTACAATAAAACGATATTTAAGAGTATTTTATCCATTTCAATCTAGCTTTGCTATTCACATATGATTAGGTATATAGCAACCGAAAGGAAATGTATTGAGTTTACACTGGTACGAATTATTTGATTATTTTTATATACTTGTCTATTGTTAACTAATATCCGTTAAAAGATTTCGCATTGAATCATTATTGCAAATCACGTCTCATATTATAATTTCCGATTTTAGAAAAATCATTATCTCTGTCGGATGTTACTTGGGGGACCGCTCTGGTAATTGCATATCTGGAGTTATGTGTGCCTGAGAAGGAAAATGAATGGCGCCTGATAGTTGATAAGGCAAGATATTGGCTCAACACTCAAGGTCAAATATCTCAAAAAGATTCAAAGAATCCCAGTGAGTCATGTGATGAACTTATTGAAAAAGCTCGTCAGGTTTTAACTAAGTTATTGAAATCGACTGCATCCAAATAGTCCTTGTAATGGACAATCTTATTGACTTTTTATTTTGATTTCGAAGATTTTTTTGTCTTTCTTTCTTTATATAATGAAGATGTTGCACTTTGATTTATCAAAATATACCTATATTTGTTTGACAGACTAATTTATTATTTTAACTTTCTCGTGAACATACCATGGCAATTGTAAAATCACAATAGATGTTGACTGGGATTTCGCATTCTTCATCCTGTATAGCAATTATGTTTTCGCTGGAGAATGGAGTGTTTTGTCGTTGACAATAGTTATTCTCTGAATTGAATTATATGGACATTAAAAATTGATTGGAGTGTGTATACACTGCTTGTTGACTATTTTCAAACGTTTAAATCGGCACCACTAAGACATGTTGCTCAACTATTGTTGTACGATTGCGTCGATGATGACTTAAACTAGTGTTCCAAGTACAACTTAAAATTTGAAACTGTGATTCATATGTGTTCACATCTGGGTTGCTATGGCTAATCAGGATGTTGACTACCAACTGAATTCTCAATTAGAATATGGTACCCGACATGTATCCATGATCTTAATAAACTCCCTTTCGATGCGATTTGAACGCCATAAAAACTTTTAAAAAATTAAAACAGTAACTGTAGACTTTAAAATGTAAATTCTAGATTTTATATACTTCGTCAAGTGTGTTGGATTCGTAGTTCAAAAACCTACAAGATAAGCCTACAATGATTGTCACCGTGAACGATAGATTGGCTAGAAGGAATTTGTACAAATCTCGAGAGGCATCGATGTTACGATTTCTGCAATCGAAACACCACAAATGCCTACTAAATTTAGAAGGCAGGCAGTGCGTTTGATTGCAGAAATAATAATATATTTATAAAATAACGGTGAGTAAAAAGATGAATTTCTGAGTGTTTGTATCCTAATATAACCTGCTGTTTCAGAAAAAAAAAAACACGTTTTAAGGAAAGGACGGTCTAAATATCCATCCAACATGAACTGTTCATCCAAGTATTCACAAACTTAATTCCATTGAGGACAAACATATCCTTCTAACTATATTTTCAAACATTACAAATATGACATTTCCCACACCCACTAAAATATACACAAGGACGACTCAACCAGAATCAAGTTGACGAAAACGACATTACATTCCCGAATTTCAGGTAAAACGATGATAATATTATATGATTTCCAGTTATTCAACATTATGTATGACCATTTGATCCGGACATTCTTTTAACAGTCTTGTTCTATGGATATGTTAAGAGGTAAAACAAAATCAACATTAAATAACTTATACCTCAGAATCGGTATTATCGACCATGAATCCTTTTAAAATAGGTTATAAACGTGAGTTATTGAAGTTCAGCACATTCAATTTATAATGTCCAAAAGTTTTAATCGTGAACAGCACAGATATCTAATTAAGTCTGATCTCCAAACTATTCTTCAGTCAATATTATTTATAATGAAAATCATCAGTTTATACGAGCTTCTAGTAAAACTATGTCAACAAATCAATTGAGTTATATTTTCTGAAAATGAAAGTTCAGATTTTTTAAACAGTTTACTCTCACGCTGTTGGTTGGTGTTTCATTTTTCAATTCGTTCATAACTCTGATTCTATTAACATGTCATTCACTTATAAGTTAGGCAATAAGTTATCTAATACATACGGTTTATTCATAATAATAATCTTTCAAAATCGATAAACATTTGTGTTCTCTACCTCGGTTTCAGAGAAGCTCCTTGTGGATACGCATGAATGTGAATTCGTTGCTCTCATATATCGTGTCTTACAAGTCATATGGTTATGTTTCATGATTATCTTCCTCCCAAGTTCAAAGATATATCGCTTTATCTCAAATAGACCTTGACATTATATTGAGCCTTTTTATCACTTATGATATTTTGAAACACCTAGTAATGGGTAAGCTGAAAAATGATGCGAACAATCATCATATTTACTCGCATCTATTGCAGCTTGGTTCATTCTGACTGTGGAAGCTCTGGATCCAGTTATGTAACTACTTTTCCGAGAATGTGTAATGGGACTGTTTGCCATTCCTTACTGATACCACGTGAACTTTATTTCATTCAACGGAGTCTAACAATAATGCTAGTCTGCTTCCCTAAAATGTTGTAGCTTTGTAATGTATGTGAGTCTAATAATTAATAGATAAAGAAGGAAACAGAATAATTCGATATAGAGTAAAAAGTTTGACCGAGTGCAAAGGTAATCTAGGGGGACTAGTCCGAACGGGCAAGCCACTGATGGAAGGAGTGCATAATGTGAATGACGCATTACCAAAAGTTCGTCTATACATACCCACGTACACTCAGTAAGCTACGTCCGTTTAAACTAATCATATCAGCATAATCGTACTATACCCACTCAATTATTTTTTTTATTCTAGGAGATTATTCATCACTATAATTCATTTGAATTACCTTGGATTCGGTGTTTTTAGTGGATTTTCAAACACGGAGCTTCAAATTTAAAGATTGTTTGTCTATTATTATAATTGTAATTGTACGTGTAGTACCGCGTCTCGGTAACCGTCAGACCACTTAGGCGCCTCGTTTGACTAAAAATAAAACCCCGTTAGTTGTATACGAGTTGTGAGGACTCCATCTGTCACTTGAATTGGTCTTCAGAATGCAGAGCGAACTCAAAACATTTAGCTTAAACAACAGTCCTCTGTGAACAATGGTCACACTAAATGATGATATACTACCAAAATCTACTTCGTAATATATACAACAGAACGGTGAAATTGTTTTTTGACTAGTCATATGCAAGATGATTACTCATTGTGGTTCAACGTTATTAAGACACTCATCAGAGGTTATTTAAATGTAGGCGTTTTATCTCGAAAATAAAATACTCTGGTAAAATTTATAAACAAATAGATCTGGACAGGAATGCACCAGATTGAACTTATAGACTACTTCATCCTGGGTTGCTTGTTGGTTGACCTTAATGCTTTATCTTCCATTTTTCTGTAGACAATGTACAGTCAATTAAAAACAAATACCTGCACATATGTATGCATAAGATTTTTGTTAATTATCAAACGCAAAAAGTATTCAGCTAGTAATAACTACAGTTTTAGAAGAATTATGCGTATTTCTGTGAATTTGTTTACTTCAAAAATATTGAAAGAAGGTTTATGCATATTATTTTGCTAATACGCTTTGTAATCACCTAACAATGTAGGCTATGTTGAATAAAATCCGTAATATTGAAGAAACACTGTAATCTAATCTATACAAGTTATGTGAGAGTGAATTAGCGAGCTCAATCCGATTTTTAGTGACCTTGTGTAATAGTGCATCGATAAATTTGTATACACCGGTAAAGCTTATGTGTACGTGGGCGTTATCACTGGCATATGTGAATCACTTTTTATGTAATAAATAATTAGATCAACATACTTAAAAAGGTACCAATAACAGTTTATTCATGATCCACCTAGCTACATTTTATTTTTAAAAAACGTGCATGATTATCACATGATTCTAATGCATCAATTGACGTGTATCTTTATCAAAAGGACATTGAGATTACTATTTCAGCATATATTTTAGATATGCTTTCTCCCTACTGTCCATCCATAATATAGTGATGTATTAAATCTCAGTATTACGTAATTTAAAATAGAATTTGTTCAAATGGTTTAGTTGATTCATTTCTAAATGTTACCTTATATCTTCTATTCATGTTAAATATATTGTTCCTTCTCTAGCCTAACGTCGTTCTACATCATGTATTAGTAATTGATACGATACAGTGAGTTGGTGTAGTCGATGGTGTGACTTCCACGTAAGATCTTATAGATTAGGCAGTTATATCATGACAAATATACAAATTTAGGATTAGGTCTATTATTAGAGCAGTACTAATATCATAGTAGACCATAATTCTACATTGGTGAGCCCAACTAAAGAAACGCGACCTATTATTGTTAATCCTTATTTTACATTAACTTTCTCAATCGGTTTTTATTTTTGTACATCCAGTATTCTAATAATCCTTTGAATAATGGTCACATATATTATCGTAATGTTATATCTATTAGTTCACATAACTTACTAGCTCAATCGATAATAAAAGTTGATCATCTATATCAACTAATTAGCTTTGATGGTTCGTTAACAAGCTTTAATAGCATTTACCTGCTTCAGCGACATAGACTTGTTTAAACATCAAGCTCTAGCAAATATGACCTGTAAATAGCGTAAATATACATTGACTAACAATGCAATCAAGGATTGAATAGTTATCTGGATCTAATTCTTAGTGTTCCTTCGCTTAACACCTCATCCTGTTTTAAACTATGCACTATCCTGTAATATCTTTTCTTCCGACCACTGCCTGCCTAATTTCATATTCTCGAGTTCCATTGCCAAACAACAAGGATGACACTTCTCCAAAAAAATACGGTGAGTTCCAGCTATAAGTTTTCTGCAATCATAAGTTCATTTTAGATGGCTCATTCAGTGGCACACACAATTATCTGGATTCATTCAGTTGTTCTGATCAGAGCGAGTCCCAAAAACCTCAACAGCATCAAGCACCCTGGAAGTGATTGCCATACTGCATGTTTTATTCTGGATACTTTTGGATCATTACTACTCACGAATGGCGTTATATATGTCGTCCACTGAATAATCTAATTTTCAAAAATAACCCAGGCGAGTTCAACTATTTTACTTGATGATTTTTTTTACTTAACATGTATATGTTTTCCGGTTCCTTTTGCTATATATTTGTAAGTGTCCCTAGGCTAAATGCAGTAACTTCTTATGGAATGTTTATAACGCATCATATTCCTGCCTGAAGTTTCATAAGCAGTCTTAACTTTAAAATTACTTTCTGGTCATGTTCATTATTTTTAAATCGTCATATACGTCAACAACCTGCATGTTAACCTGGCCCATACATACGTTACACTATATCTCCATGTCTTCTAAATTTAGAAATCATCTGGATCGCCTTTAACATTTATCAATAAACCCATCATAGTCGTTGTTGCTAATCGTATTTGTGTTTATGGATTGGTTTATCATATTAGCAGCCTAAAATGCGAACATAGTTTAGATAATAAGATTAAAAATTTAGGTACTATCAACTACACTAGTAAAATAACTAAATCCTCAGGTAGCTGTTGGCTAAACAAACGTTTAAAATCAAAACTCCGTAGCCTACTAGAATTAACACTAAACGAATATTTCTGAATTGAAATTTATAATTAAATTAGGCGTCTCGGATTCTTTAACGTTACAAATTTCTGATAATTTCGAATCACCTAAAGCAACAATACCTATTTTTCCACTGACTAATCCTTAATCAACACTATAACTAGTTAAATTTAATAGTTTCAGGATATCGTCATAAAGCATTGTCATGACTTGACAATCACGTAATATGACTGATAAAATTAATGAAACTATTAACAAAATCGGTCAACAAATTGACTTATAATTACCATTAAATGGTGTTGTTTTCTTGGTATCTTCATCCATCACAGATGATTACAGTATGTTTCTCTATCAGTTGCTCATTCAGTAAATATCTCAAAACCTTGTCAGTCTAATTGATGGTTTAGCGACACAATCATGCATGCAAATAATCAGTATAAGCAGTCGAGCAAATCTCCTGCAAACTGAAAACATCAATGTCGAATTTACCCCAACACTGACTAAGGTTCAAGCCATTATCATAGACATGAGTTGGGAGTGTACTCCCCCTGGTTACAACTTATGTTCTCTCTGATAATCACATGAGCATCACTCACTATTAATCATCTTGTAAAAACTTATTTAGCTAAATACATCTTGCAGCACCACATCACTTCGTAATATGACACAGGCCTAACTGATTTTAATAACTTATAACCACTATATCTCAATTAAATCGTATTCCGCCTTATGATAAACTGCATACTTGCAACTAACTTGTATGCCCAATCAGCCAGCAAGTATAAATATAAATAAATAGTCTGCCACAGATCAGAACATTGAGTCTAGAGCATGTCTCTTACGAATACACTCATGTTTAACGATTTGTTCCTAGCTATCTGTCCAAAATTCATATAATTATCACTCACGTATTTAAATTTTGTTTTGATAACCATTCATGTGTATTAGTAGTATTACTAAATTCTATCACGGTCAAGTAAAAATGAGGTTGAGAAAATCTCCCCGTAACTAAATAAACCGTATCAAACTAACTGGAACACTAGTTGGAATTCTCCACGGTAATACTTTTGTTCCTTCAGTTAGCCTACTAATACAAATGCAATTGGAAATCAACTCATATGGACAACATACCGGCATAATTGTAGATTGATTTCATAATTTTAACCAAAACTAATACCAATATTAATATTTCTACAATATTCATTACTTTAATACTTCTAAACACAAAATACTTACTACCTATACGTTAAGTTATTAACCAACGGCTATTAACACGCATCGTTTTATTATTATTATTATTGTAACCCCATTTTTTATAGCTCAAATAATCTTCACCCAAATTTTCATTTCAAGCGTGTTAAGCATGAAGGCAGATATTTTAAAATTATTACATGTATTTCCCGACCAGATGCTGCCGCTTCTTTTTGATTTATCTTTCAGCTTATCAATACCCGGAGGATTCTACTTATCCTTGGTAACCTCCGGCGCGCGACAATCCCATCCAATTTGGTATCGAACCAACACCACGTTGATTCTAGTGGGAGAGTAATGTAGTGGCATTGGACAATAACCACACAATCTTCAAAGCTGAATACGTGATTGCTCGGAAAATAGATATTCAATAGTTATTCTATAGCGACTCACGTGCAATTGGGTTTATTCTCATTTAACTCAGTTAAGCCCTTTTGCTAACTCATTAAGCGGACAAAGTCATCCGCACTACAACAATTTATTGTACCCTTATTATTTTGTGCTTGTATGAAATACGTATGCTTGAATATTGATTACGGCCTACGCATTTATTCACTCTGCTAGTCTTACTACTAACTGCTTATTTAATTCGATTACTCATTCATTTCACACGCTATATATATGTTCATGTTATTCATACTCACTCATACACTCTCGTCTCGCTCTTGCTATGGCTCCCACTCGCTTGCTTGCCTTTCGGCACAACTCTTATATGCTTGTTTAACGCATCTGTATATTTGGATATATGTGTGCGGTCTCGCAATAAACGTCATCAACACTTCGTATTTGCCTTCTGATTAATATACCGTTGGGACGTTATATAGAACGGTTATCAAGACGAGCTGTATACGAAGTTTAAAGATTATATCGAATACCGACCACCACAATTCCAATCCGATTCGGACATTTATTGCTTTTTCTGCAAAGTTCACAATCAAACTAAGAAGAGATATACGTCATACTACATATACACTTCAGTCAAAGTAAGGTATGGTCTGATAAGTAGAATCAAATTGCCTATTTTTCTTGGAGATTCAGTTCCTACATGTGAGTCTTAATACGCCTTTCATGTACTGCCGATTCATAATACTCCAAAAGACTCTCCGTTTCCCTTCACTGGCTGTTTGACATCCCGATATCACAATCTCCTGTATGTTCTAAATGATCATTAATAGACTACATATATTGTATTTTTCCAGAATCTTTCACTAAGCATGTTCTATTTTGAGTCAGTAATTTAGCCTTACCTCAAAGCTTGATAAATTAAAAAGTCCTACGCTTCCTTAGACAAACATTCTATTTAAACACCATCATCAACAAATGATTTGGTAATTTCAAATAAGTTGATCAGTGTGTAGATAGATAATGACGAAAGTGGCGTTACATTTATAAACGTCTATGAACCACAGATTTAATTCTTGAATCTTCTCATTCTAACATTAAGTGCCTTAATAAAAATAAATGTAACACGAATTAAAATAGTACAAGCGAAATGTAGCAGTATTATTTTGATACAATCAAATCAAGTGAGATAGTGCTGATGTAATGTCATTTTGGTTAATGCGATTTTCTTACTCTTTCTTCGTATAACTATCCCCTTCATTCAATTAGTGGGTAGATCACCTCTGGGTATGATGAATATTCGCAAATCCCTCCAGAGCTCGGAGTTCTTGTAGCGGTAAGTAAATCCCCAAAATAAATAGCTCGGTAATTCTTCGACATTGGATGCTGACCACATGTTTTAGTGGACTCATCTAGCTGAAGGCGCTCGGTCAGGCATCCGCACCAGATCACGTGTGGTAACGCCGTGCTCAACATCAACCGCAATCGCTAGCCAGATTAGACCAGAGAATTCCGATATTTTGGTTATCGCCAAATACACTCTTCCAATCTCCTCGACTCTGTCATTTGATTTCTCTGTGTGGTTACGAATTATATTAGGTGTTACTGGTAGAATCGTTGTCAAACACTGAATACCTGTGCCATCTTCAAGTTTCCAAAGTGTCGGATTCTACGAAGCTAAGATCACAAGGCAAAGAAATAGGTGGTGAGTTGTTAGATAGACATACAAAAGATATAAATTTATTGGATTTAAATTCTGTATCAAGTATCTTGGTATCTCAACTATAGAAACTATGTGCTTTTTGAAATCCCGATCCACACTATTATACGTCCCGTGTATCATCTTCCCCATGAAATTATACAGAAGCTTGTGATAAATTTCCATAGACTGATGGCTTCTCTTGCATATGATTTGCTTAGTGCAAGTGTCATATACTGCCTTATAGTATAGCCAGTTATCTTTGTCTTTGGAATGATCTAATTTTTTCGGTAAATCGGTATTTTTCTAATGAATTCACAGGTAGTGAACTTTAGCCTATAGGACGATCTAAAAGGAATAATTCGTCGAATATAGGACACCCAAATATGACATCAGTTTCTCAAATCCGGATTTTGTCTCATATGGAACTTGAAGTGGTATTGGTTCTTAACAGTACGATCTTTGAACGTGAGCGTGTAATCACCGAGAAGATTTACATCAAACCTATGACACTAGGCTGAGGTCTACAACAGTGAACGCGTCAGCAATTATTTGAAATGTCATTGTTCAGCCATGCAGGTGCGGTTATTCTGTATAGCCTCTTTTTTCTGTGTCGAATATATTGCTCTTTCCCAGCTTAAATATATTCGCACATGTGCCAGACGTTACATCGCTGACTGTCACCAAGGAACGATTCATTGAAAAGAATGATGTGACTTCCACGCATAATCTTGAAGATTAGGTTGTCACGATGTGACAACCTACAATTTTGGGATTAGGTCTATTATTATGGTAACGAAGGTAATTGCACTAATACCGAATAAAACCACAATTATTTAAACCCACTTACATAATAGCTCAGATTATAAAGCGTAATTTTAGTTCGCTCATGATTCCTACTTTCACCGTCTGGTAATGTCGATCAACTTCCCTACATGATATTCCCTGTTCAGTTCGAATAAGTCTTGTTTACACTTAATTACACACAAGTCATTATTTTACTTCTGTATATTCCTTTACTTCTCATCCTAAAACTTCATACAAAACTAATCCGATGATTGTGAAGTGGCATGGCAACTACTTGGTTCAATACTCATACACAGGTGACCTGCAAATAACAAGGGATGTCGGTTGATTCATTATTCCTCCACTTTGCAAACTCCTTCGACAAAGCAGTCCGCATGCTCCTCGTTATGAATGTTGACCCACTTTTATCCTTAATACGACACGACCTAGAGAAAAACATGCACTGTGCCAAGGTAAATACACTGAGCTCAAGTTAAGTCATAACATCTGGAGTTTCACAAGGTACAACCTTAGGTACCCTCCAGGTCTTGATCATTATTTACGTCCTGTTAGTTAAAATTACCTCACGGACATTGATCTGTGCTGACGATGCAAAGGTATCAAGGTAAATAGTGAGCAAAAAACTCACTTGGACTTAAAAACGACTTTTGAACGATGGAGAAACGGGCAGTAGATATAGGATTGAAACTAAACCCGTCGAATTTTTATGCCAAGCACATTCTGCTTCATCTTACACAAAGAACTTACGCCTCCATGAAAATCTGATCTTCACTGTCTCATCGTAGCGTGATCCAGAGATAGTGAATACAGGAGCTTAGACCCCAGGCCATCGTAACCCTTAATGTTAAACGAAGACAACTTGGCACGATCACCTTAGATATGTTACTAACTTTCCTTAATACATATACACGGTCCCATCCCAATGTGCGAAATTCTGTCGCATCTCATCCCTTCATAAGTGCGACGAGGTCATAAGGCTTCAGAATAAACTTGAGGGGACACACACCGTCACTTAAAGTTACACTCGTTAGGCCACAGGAAAACAAAAGATGAGCAGACGATGACACATAACATATTATGTACACCAAGCCACCTCAGTACATGCAGACCACCAGAACGTCGCCATCTTGATCATCGAGGCAAGCTCTCACCTTTCCTCGCTAAACGTTACCGTCAGTTTTAATGCCCTCTCAAACGCAGTGGTCACAGCCCATCTAGAGTTCAACTTTAAGCGGAGACAAATATGTAAGAATTTGCGGATTAAAATCTCAAACTTTAACAAGCTGTGTCTGATTCAATTCTAATAATTTTTACCGCAGTATACCGGTAAGTATTCCCTGTCTCGCTTATGTTCATAGCCGTTTTGTTTCCTACTCTTTCAATTCCGTCTTCCTACACATTACAACTAGGCAAAGTATTTATTTGTGCTTAGAACAGTCGTTTTCTTCTGCGCTTCAACTATCACTTTATCATTTCAAAACTGCAATCAGCTAACCTTTTGCTTGATAATATGCTAGCTGTTTGTATCCATAAACCGTACTATTCCAAGACAAATGAATTTACAAGAAATACAAAACTGACCAGAATCAGTACGGGCAAGTAGCTAGGCTAATATTCATTAAACATAATCACACACATTCAACCAAACAGAAGTAACGGGAAGAGAGATGAAATAGATCAATCTGTTTTTGCAAACTCATGACAAACATATTGGATCTTGAAATTTGCCCGAGCGGATCTTCTAATCAATATGCTACTATTATGCTGGTGAGTTCATATTCTGGTTTTGTTTTTATGCTATATCCAGCTGTGTAACAATGCAACGCGTTTGTCGTCTGTATAATGCTTATAGTTTTTTGACTGCCAGTTTTGTGTTGTGTTTGTTTTTGCATTACTTCTATACAACCAATGAACATGTGGTCAGCATCCAAACCCCTAGTTATAACATACTGGGACTTCTGTTTATGCTTTCACACGTCACTGATCTTATCTGTTACCCGTTTTAGCTAGAAACAGTTCATTTTCAACAAAAACCTGCCTCAAAGATCGTTGTGGTACGTGCTGAATTTCATAATTAAAAATATGTGAAAACGCCACTATGTATTTAGAGCAACCTAGATTAAAGCTTTATACCTGCGAATTCCCAGTACACAAAATTGCCTTAATTAATCTAAAAGGAATTAAGTCTTAATGTTAGAAGATTTTTACACACTCGTTGGTCTGACTTAAAGATATTGAAGTGCAGTAATTTTTCTAAAAATACTACATGACTAAAATCTAATCAACTAATCATTCGATGGTCTGCTATCAGCTTTCTCGAGGGAATAATCTAATATCGGAGATACTGAGCATTAAACCGTTATTCAACTTTGTTGAATTATCAAATTTAAGTTGTCAAAGCATGAATATGAATAAGTCATTGGTATTTCTGATACTTTTTAATGAAACATGAAATCTCAGTTTTTTCGAATGGAGCTTTATTCTAAACGCTTGACGATTGTGTATGGCCATGTTCCTCAGAACGGTGTCTTAATAAGATAAATGAAAGGCGAAAATGGTTTGTCTAATTCACTGCGTTATGTGTCTGAAAGATACCTGTGTTAAGTCTTATTCTTTCCTTTATGTTTCCGTAAATCTTGATGACTTAAGCCTCAATCCCATATGCTAACATTTGTTCGTAGATTTATATTTGTCTATTCTTCACCACGTTCTATTATAATTATGAAACATGATAAAAATACATTCGGCTTCATAACGGGCCTACACTAACCTGATGACTTGTAATTAGTAAACGGAATTTTATGGGACAAAAGCAATATTTGCTTATTCCATGGTTTAGTATGAACGAGTCCAAGCGGACGCATCTACCCATAGACAGTGCTTATCGAGAGTATACTGGTCATTCTTATCCTCTGCTCCATTTCATATTAAATTTAATCTATATGTTAAGTAGACAAGGTTATCAAGTCTTGTCGAAATTAGATGCCGCCCTTGTTGCACGATACTTTGGTTTTAATCAATCAAATCCACAAGCTAGAACTTAAGATACTGCTAATTTTGATTTATCCGTACTCTCTATATTGTTTCTATTCCTAAATTCATTCTAGCTGGTGTTTTATTTACTGTTTGAATTTTACAGCGTTAATTCTCTACACAGTTAAAGTTCTTTGATCCTTCGAGAGTGCTGCGATCGTTGCTTCTGTTGATTTCATAGGTTAAACAGTTAACCTTTTTGAGAAATTAACTTCTAAATCTCCATAACATTGTCGTTTATTTTATTGACAAACCAAATATATGTAGTCTGTAGTTTTTTGAAGTACTTTAAATGAAAACTTTTGTGACCATTTATATTTCATTGACTTTTGTTCAGTCCTGTTCACTCTGTTGATTTTAATTGATATTAGAGCTTTTTGGGCCTTGGTCAAAGTGTTGATATTAAAATAAACTTGGAAGATGAGGAGCATAGAAAAAAGGAAGAACTCAGGAATGAAGATGGCCAAATCCACTCACTTCCCGTTTATTATGATGGTGAAAACGTTTGTGGATCTGTAAATGTTATTTTAAAAAGAGGTGGAAAACTAGAACATCAAGGAATAAAAATCGAATTTATTGGCCAAATTGAATTGTATACAGATCGTGGAAACCGCGAAGAGTTTATTGCTCTTTGTCAAGATTTAGCACGTCCTGGAATACTTTCTCATTCGACAAGTTATCCATTCGAGTTCCTACGCATTGAAAAGCCTTACGAGTCATACTGTGGAACGAATGTCCGTTTAAGGTAACTTTGATGTAACTTCTTACAAATGACAGGTATTTTTTACGAGTTACTATTCAAAAAAGAATTGCTGATATCACAAAAGAACTTGAACTCATTGTACATTCTACAATGAGATGTTCCGAATCGAGTGACAGTATCCAAATGGAAGTTGGGATAGAAGATAGTTTACACATTGAATTCGAGTACAATAAGTCAAAGTGTGTTCTTCTTTCTTTATGTTTAACAGTTTAGATACCATTTACAAGATGTCATTATTGGTAAGATATACTTCCTACTGGTTAGAGTTAAAATAAAAAACATGGAGATACAAATATTGAAGCGTGAAACCATTGGTGCAGGTGGGTTCATCACAAAATTATACTTACATTATTCGCAGGACCTACTGCTTTTACGGAGACTGAAACTGTTGGAAAATATGAGATAATGGATGGTGCACCAGTACGTGGCGAGTCGATTCCCATCAGACTATTTCTACATGTTTATGGCTTGAGTCCCACTATGCGTGATGTTTATCGCAAGTTTTCTGTGAGGTATTTCCTGAACTTAGTACTGTTAGATGAAGAGGATCGGCGATATTACAAGCAGCAAGTAAGGATTTTATATCTTTATTTGAAAATTTATCAATGTCACCTGGTAATAAAACAAGCGTATTTATTTTTTCTATACCTCTTCAAGTATTTTCCTCAGTGTGGTCTTTCAAGGTACTCATTCTTAGTTGACTGTGGTGTAATATAAATTTGATTGACTTTCATTGCAAATTCCACTTTTGTTTTGTATATTTTTACTTATTAAGAGATATAATTAGTTTAAGCGATTTGGGAACTTATAGGCTTTCATTTAAAATGTATGTTCAATCTACTTTTTATAACATTGTACACCTAACATAGTCACTTGCAACGTTGATCGCTACGCAATTATGTGTCAGTTAGTGTCACTACATCTAGCAAGGAAAAAAATGAACGCTGTTGTCTAAGAAATATTGGCAGAGAAATATTCACTTTCAAATTTTTATTTATCTTCTACTGCTTTAGTTGCTTCAGCATCAACCGATGGTAATAAACCTAACCAGAATACAACTATAGTTGTACATCGAAAAATATGTCTGTGTTCTAGAATAAGCCAAAGTGTGAATATTTGGTTCCTACATCCACGTTCATGTCTAAGACAACTACATTAGTTAAACTAATTCCTTTGCGATTGTCACAAGAGGATTTTTATCCCCTCTCGTAATCTGGGACGATCAGCGATCTAGACCCATCAGATGCGATTAAATCCAATTCCCAAATTTTAGTCAAGATTTCAGTTAATCTTACTGTTAAAACTGGCCCACCATCCCTAAAAATCTTAGCGTTTAGTACACTAAGTTCTGCTGCTCTCCCTCGCTTCAAATGTTTTAGCCTTTTCAACTGCACTAAGAGGTGGCGGAGTTACATCAGTTTGCCATTTAGGTTGTTTGGAGATAGTGGGTAACTGAAGCGTGGCTGAAAGTCAGTTGAGCTGTTCCCTGATATTTTCTACCCATCGGTCCGATCTCCTTTTTTGATTGAATAATAGTCCCATATTTCTTCAGACTCACTAACAAACATGTTTGTAATATCGGTTTTCTTAGTAAGTCTGAACAGTTGTCTACTGTTACCTGTCGCCGCTGCTTTTTCCATCTCTTCTGCTTTCAATACCCACCACTACTCACAATCACTACATAGACTTTTTATCAGCCTGCGTTTAAGTTCATAAAGAGCAGACTAGAGGAAAGCAGGCTGGTTTTCGACCTTGAAGTGGCTTTATAGACTAGATATTCACACTACGTTAAGTCCTAGGACATAAACATACGTTCAGACGCCCCATAATCGTAGTATTTCTCGACCTTAAGGCGGCATTTGACTCTGTCGATCATCATGTTTTATGGCTGTTTTTCAATGAAAGGAGTATTGAGGAAGTAAATTAACCTCTCAACTCCAGCACAACTGCCCGAGTGAGAGCTTATGGTGAACCGTCAACAGAATTGATTACCTCACTTGGCGTTCGTCAGGGCTGTCCACTCTCCATTCTTGTTTAACCCTTTCCTCATCTAAATTTCCAGGAGCTGAACTTTTACCCGGAGATTCACTTCTTGATTTAGAACATGCTGGTGAAGTAGTTCTTTTTGTTAAAGACGTTGACAAAATGCAGAGTCTTCTGACCACCGTAAGCACCAATGCAATCATGTTCGAGATGTGATTTTCCCCCTCGAAATACAAAATGTTACTTCAGGATTGGGTTGCATCGACACCTGAACTAAAGATAGGGAGTGGAGTAATTGAGTGTGTCGACCTCCTCACTTATCTTGGTAGGCTCATCAGCCTTTGTGGTCTGGTGTGTGACGAAATCTCGGCACGGATATACAAGGCTCGATTAGCTTTTGATAACTTGTGTCATTTATGGCGTAGGCGAGATATCCGTCTACCAACCAAAGGACGAGTTTACTGTGCAACTGTTCGTCCAACCCTACTTTATGGCTGCGGAACATAGCCAGTAAGAGTAGAAACTTCGTCAGTTGAGATGGCTGGGACATGTATTACGTATGTTCGATCACCGACTGCCCCAATGAGCGGTGCTTTATGGTGTAGGAGTAAGTTGGAAGAAAGATAGGGGCGGCCAGACCAATAAATGGCACAAATCCATGAAGTCACTGGCAAGTGGACTGAGCCACGTTGGTAGGTGTAGGCTACCTGGTTGGGATCTGCGAGATGGTAACCACCGATGGTTAGAGACCTTGGATGACATGGCTCAAAATCGTTCGCAATGACGCAGGTGCATCCACTCTCTATGTTCTCCCAAATTCTAATCTTCTGAATTATTCATGTCCCTTTTTTTCCTTCCAAATTCATTTCACTGGATTATACTCCTTGAATATCATCTTCAAACCCTAATCTTTTCGATTACTGTTTATACTCTTACTACCTCTACCACCATGGGATTGGAATCGACAATTGCATCTCTGTGCTAATGTGGTATGGCAGCTTGAACTGATGTACGCGCGTACGAGGTCCTACGTTGTTGCTGACTGACGCCTCATCGTGTTTTGAGTCAGTCAAGATGAAATTCTTAGCATTTATCAGTTGAGTGGACCCCGTTGAAACCCATCGATTTTTCCTAACCTTTTGGTTCAAGTTACTTGTAGATATCACTGCTATTTCCACCTTTTTTGGATATCACACCGTGCTATCTCGGGTTTGGTATCACTTTTACAGTTGAATAGCTTCCTCTCTAGTTGTTCTTGAAATATATTTGGCTGTTTAATCGTTACGGTAAACTCTAATACGCCTTCTTACTATGGCTTCCTTGCATCCACTAAGACGCAGACAAATACGTCCTCGAAGTAGGGCATGATCCGAGTTTAAACATGTGTTCCATCATAGGTTTCAGTCTTCTATCAAGGATGATGGAAACGTGGTCTTTTTGAATCCATAGTTGAGTCATTTGTGAGGGTCGCTTTGTTAAACGGTATATTTTTCGTGCTTAAAGTGAGTGTTTACTAGAATTAAATAGTTGATTGATCATAGTTGCAGCGGTCGGTCATTTTCTATTTGCTGAGTCGTGACAAGGTAAGACCACCCACCTAAATGTTTTTCAGTTTGGCGTATACTACCTACTAGGGCATCAAGATCACCTACCACTATAATTACATCTGAGTGTTAAGCTTTTTGAAGAAGGTTAGAAAGCTTTATATAGCGTTCGTCTTTTACTTCATCTGAGCTGTAATCTCTGAACGCATAGTAAGAAACGACGAAGCAATAATAGCCTGTGTCCCTGTTTTTTTCTGAGTTTAGTTGGGAAGCACACTAGCAATTATTTATTGTAATCTAGTTTAGGAGTGCCTATTGTGCTTTAGAACTTAACGCTATACCTACACTAACTAAGCCATTGGAAGTAGGAGTGGGGTTTCCAGACACACGAAGTGTAAACGTCTCCAGTTCTTCATATTTACCGGATGAGGTAAAATGAATGATTAGTGGTCTCATTAACCTGAAAACGTCACCGCAAGACCCAAACAACAAATTCCTGGGACCAGTCTAATGTGGACTTTTCATGGAAAATCTTCAGTTTTTTAGCTACGTATTTCTAAATGCTTTACCCTTGGAGAAGAAAATTCGTTTGATTAGTGTGAGATGAGACATTTCATAGTCAATTTATTCTAACTCCTTCCTTTGTGAGAATGAAGCACTGCTGCAGGTGGATCTGAGGAAAACGTCTTATTGCTGTCACACCTCTCTACAGTCAACAGTACAACTTAAACCTTAGATCTTAATTCCCCGCTTTCATTCATACCGTTATTCAAGAGACCTGCGTGGTATGGTAGGACTGAATGTTGCTCGATACCCTTTCGCAGAACATTTCAGAAGATGGTCGACAAGTTCCCCGTATTTCGTTAAACACAGCTGACCAGCTAAATTGGCATCAGTCAATGTAAGGTCTCGAAAATTGTCCAGTACATCTGTATCCCCACACAAACTAGGTCCTCTCATCCTCAATAAAACAAAATCTACATCTTCACTTCGCAAGTGTCTAACCTGATATTCACTAGGTTTTTCGTTATATTCATTCGGAAGCAGATGCCGGACATTTAAGACCTGTACTCAAGCCCCCATTGACAGCTTGCCGAACTTCTGCATAAGTCTTAGGATTATGCTGAAGCCAAACACATGTCCAGAAAACTTAGTGGTCCCTTAAATGCGGGTCCCAGATATACAATATAAATTAGTATCAAAACGTTTTGAATACATCCTTAAATTCATCTGTTTACTGGTCTACATCAAAGTTTAAACGTAATAAGCGACAAGTTTAAATGCCAGACGTGGCTTTAGAAGGGTTGGACCAGACTTCGTATACTGTAGTAACACTCAAAAAATCGACCACTCTGCGATTTGAAACCGTTCGTGCAGAACGTGAGTTCCAAACGTAAGCTACTGATTCAAATCAGTGTAAGAAGGGGCATAAGAGTCATGAGAATTAAATAAAGTAGAACTCTAAAGTGGGATGAAATCAATCGCGTTATAATAGTGAAATAGTTATGGTCTTTATATTTTCTGATCATTAGTGTCGGATAAGCGGGTCAGATTTTCTTCTTCAATAGTGTTTTCTTCATATATATGAGCTGGAATACTGCTTGGATGCCCAAATTGAAGCAGAGTTTTATTATGGAACCAGTCCCATAGCCTTCGACTTAGCTACAGGGGTTGGAGCGATGTCGGGTGGTTCAGTTCCTTGGAACCCAGTGATCAAATAAATTCATATGCCCTTTGATCCCTCAGGACCCTACAGCCTGTCTGCACCATTGGTTCGGAATCAGGGTTTCTCAATTTGCCAAGATGGACCTACTGACCTAGTTTAAACCATGGATGCCCACTTTTCGCTCTCCATTTCAAGGCATTGTGAAACACTCCCATGATAAACAGTCAAAATAACTCGTGACCAAATGAGAACGTTTCAAGAGTAGATTCTTCTTACCTTCGGGCGTACTTAAGGTGTTTAGGGGAAAATATTATATCTAGTTGTCCAACACTAGCTATAATACGTGCTCTCATCTAACCGATCATTCTATCTACATCTGATGATTTTCTGACATTTACTGTACTTCAAATAGACCGATCAGACTAAGTTTTATTACTCTTAATGTATGTACTCAAATAAACTGGTACTAATATAATTTAAATTCTTTTCGTTTAGGAAATTATATTGTATAGAAAATCCGATCGCCGACTCAAGAATTATGTGCAACAGATTACAGACAAAGGACTTGAAACTAATGGAAATGTGGTCAAAGAGAAAGAAGCTTATGCTGATAACAAAATGCATGAACAAACAGATCTCGAAGCTCCTGCAAAGGTACGCGTATCGTTTTCACGATAACTAAAGACAGTTACTAATTAAAACTAAGCTTCTCATAAGTACGTTTACGAATGAAGATTCATATTATGTGATTGTTTTATTTCATATTGTAGGGTCTGCAATCAAACAGTGTATGTTCCGACCTCTCGACGGGTGAACATGAAGATGATAATACAGATTGTTCTAAGTTATTCAATAATCCTGCTTCTACTGCCAGCGAATGTGAGATAAATAAACTTGGTGATGACGAGGAGGACAATGATAGTTGTGATTCTTTTTCTCCCCATACACGTGCAGCCAGAAGTATGCACCGTTATGAACCTAAGCAGGTTCATAAGCACACAGAATCGTCAACTGTTGGTGACCTTCCAAACAAATCATCTGTGACTGTTTCTAGTGTATCAGTTACGCAAAATTCTATGTAGGAAGATATTTTGTACTTAACATGTTCATTACATGTTAAATTTTGCTTGCTAAAGTCAATCCTAGTCAAAATTATTCCGGTAGACTTTTAAAAATCATAAGAATGCTGTGATACGCTAGATGTTAATTAATCATTTGCATTTCTGTTGTTTAATCAAAGTTGAATGAACCGACTGTAACTTATTGGTAATGTATCTTTCGCTACATAAGACAATTCGTTTGCCATGTTTAGTTTATGAGCGGATAACCAACATTGAGATTAGTGTCGATTGTGTTGAATTTCGCATTCTCGTAGTTAAGTCACAACTTTGATTACTAATTAATTTACTTTAATTTTTTTCATATTTTATAAATTTCACATAAAACAATAAATTGATTTCAACAATAAAAATAATTTGCTTTTTTGTATTGAAAAGAAAAAAAATAATGATCAAACTTTTTAAAAAAAATAGTCTGCGGAATATTTTCCCTTTTGTAAATTAAAATGGTAAAATAAAAAGTTCAGAGCTTTTGTCAATTATCAGTACGGATTATATTATACGTGATTTTGAGCACGAAGGGCATTTCGTTTCTTCATTAGACAAGCAGTCTCCATGACAAATATGATTACAATTGAAAATTGCCCATGACCGATGATTTTCTTCGTTGCTTTGACTATTCACATCACATTTTAATTGATTTGTACTTCGCCATGATTGCCCGTTATTGTTCAATATAGGTTGCAGACACACTGTACATCCAGTAGAGGACCAAGCACTTGAATTCACACGAATTCCTTTCATTTGCATTTTGATAACACGTAAGAATAACTTATGCATGTCTGATGACAAAATGCGTGAACAGCTTTGCTGCAGTTCAAGTTGAATCTAGAAACAGGACAAGTCATTTTATCGTAAATTCTGATCAATATTATAAGTAGATATGCAAAACTGACACTCACATCAAAGATACTAATATTTATTTGAACACATAAATATTGGTAAAAGGGGGCACCACTGAAAATTCTATTAATATTTAGTTTTTCTGAAGCTTAATTACATGGAGATTGTTACCCAATGACACTAAGATTCAACTCGCAATACTTGAAAAGTTAATCTTTTCCTGTTTCAAACAATTTCCTCTAGGCTTTGGAATTGTTTCGTCAACTCACTACATTGCATCTAATATCTATAAAACGACTGCAAAAAACACCTTGTATATACCAATTTATTTGGTTTATGGTAGGCAGTTTTCTGAAATAATCCATTTAATTCTTTTAAGATCTAACAAAAATAACGCATTGTATCATTGAAGATATAAATACAATTCAGCGAAGAAAATCTTATTTTCGACGATATTTGCTGTTAAGGATAATTCAAATAAAAAGCTTGAAGATCAACAAACTTGTTTAAACAGTAATAAATGTCGTTTTCGCCCAAACTGAAAACAAAAGACAAGAACACAACACATTTTGAAGAAGCCTGTGCCAATTATAATGCGTTGTCAGTGAACAGTTCATTAAAGACAAGTTAACATTGGATTTCATCTGTTGTTACCCCTAAGGGAATACTACTCCTTTTGATAAATATTCTAACTGAATGCTCTTCAAATAACACGACAACTTGAACGCGAGAAAAAAAGCCCGAAGTGTGAAAAGCATGCTTTGTTTTAAGGTTAGTTTATGTACAGAAAATTGAGGGTATTTATAGAATTTCAGATGGTCTTGTGCTTTGGAAGTTTCTGGAACCCTATTATAAACATAGCAGGATAGGTAATCATCCAACCAGAAATGTGACGTGTGACTCTTCACTTACTAGATGTTTTTGAGAAACTTTTATTCAATGTTGATTGGATAAAATGTTTCCCAGTAATTCCAGGGTCCTCGGGGCTTTTTCCGAGAAATATTCTGGACCTCCTCAATACCTTTATTACTAAAACCCCATTAAAGATAAGAAATGGTCTATCGCTCAGTAACTATAATATAGATGAAAAGTCTATGGTTTTCCAGTTAACATTTTTATATAGTAGAACCAAAACGAGATAAATGTCCTATCTGATTTTACGACTCACTACCGATGTAAATTAACATTTATACCATATACACGGATAATGCAGCATGATTCAGATACTTTACATTTAGCGAATTAAAATATGTAATTTCGTGCAATTCCTCAACTAGTTCTAGATGATGACAAGTACTACCTACCTTGTAATCATGCATAAGCTTGACAATTGCATCACGGAGTCCAGGTATAGTCATGTCTGGTGATATTTTACGTAGTAGCAGACGTGAATCAAGACCTTCACAGCCTGCATTTTGTAGTAATGCACATATGAAAGCAGGTTTATCCGCCGCAAATAAAATAACCTGTTGCCATAGTTCACCGGCATTTTCATCACCTTCGTCTTCATCGCAATCCTTGCTACAATTTGAATTATTCATACTACGATGTCTATGGAAAGGGCGACGATTTTTCGCGTGGATAACATCTTCTTCTCGGCAGTATTCGATCGACTTTGCAGCAGCTATAGCTTGGCGTTGTTCCGGAGTTGTAGACTCTCCAATTAACGAGTCTTCGCCTCCCTGTGTAATGGAATGTAAACAACGCTTTGGTAAAACAAATATCGTCTAATGGAAGTCGCGTATTTCATTAAAGAGACTATATGAGTTGACTATGGGAAATTTTGTTTCGTTCATAGGGATGATGTTTGAAGTTAAAAGAAAAAATGGGATGTCACAGAAGTGATAGCTCAGTAATTCGTTAAGAACAGGCGACTACAGCTTTCTTTCAACTTCATCTTTATGTATAAAAATGCAATGGACAGTTAGCAAATTCAAGAATATTTTAAAAAATAAGTGATCTTAGACAACATTGTACATAGGTTATGATCAACAGTACGCGTCCTAAATAGTGACAACTAAACTGTCGTCACACAATATAAAGCTTAGTGTGAGTAGAAAGAATATACCGAATCGATTATATAATAACAGAAAATACTCTGTGACTAAGTGCAGTTATATTGTGGTGATTAAACGGGAGTCACTTACAAACAACCAGAGTGGTATAACAACTCGTCAATCAGTCTAAGCTCTTGCACAAATCTACACAATACAATATAAACATTAATGAAGTAATAGCCTAGTAGTGTTACTGATTTCTATTCTAAACGTATGGAGATATCTACTGCTCAGTAGAAAAACTCAAATTTCACAGGGGATAATACATTATTGCGATCCAAAAATTGTAAACATAAGTTGTCTTAAAATTTAAAAATAATGTTTAATAAGATTTGTATTACGCAACCATACTTCGCAAATGTTATTTTTCAATTGGTACTACATTTACATGAGAACCTGAACTATTGGTAAATACACTTTCTAAATTCGTTTGCAGCATTTCTTGATGAACAGAAGTTAATCTCAACGACAGTATTTTAAAAAGTCTATCTATATAATGGATTACTACAACCAGATGATACCAATCATATATTTTATTGAGAGTAATTTTCGAGGTATAGTTATTAGAGGAGCTTGACGACCGCCCCGCATTCTCATGTATATGTGGGTTTTATTAAGTATAACTTCGAAAGTAAGTGATTACCTATATGACATAAAATGTCCAAGCCTGCTTCAAAATGGTTTTCGGCCCAAATAATTACATTCTATTCATTCACTTAAACCAGTGAATATATTTGCCCCCAAAGTTTACTAAAATAATTTGCTCTTATTAATTATAAAGAAGAATAAGTTATGGGATCTAATTTATCAAAAGTGATTACTTACCCTCGTCATAATTAATTGTAGTGCATCGTGACGTCTCCCAACTCTAGTCAGCAGATAAACAGTTTCTGGTACAAGTTTCGCACGTTCACATAAGCTTAGGGCTTCACTTAGAGGATATCGATCTGTAGACTTCAACAAAGGTAGCAGTTTACTTCGACAAAATTTGATGTATAAGGATATTAGTAGAGTTAAATATGGGCCAATAATTTGTGGATATCGATAGTAAATGCTGTCTAAAAACTGAAGAAAAACATAAAGAAAGCTATATATATATATATATATATATATATATATATATATATATATATATATTACAAGCGAAAAAAACGAATTAAAAGTATAAATATAAATATTGTACTGTAGAAGACTGGCAATTATATGTAACGATGATCATATCACTCAAAGTTTGATCACTGGGTTGCATATTTAAGGCTTATTACATCTGGCTTTAGCTTGGGTAGCCAATAGTATCACTGATCTTCACACGAAACCGTGCCTTGGAGGGGATTTTACAAATGCGTACATAATTACTAAGTTGTGTTACATTTAATTAAAATTGAATAAGGAACATCAAGGTAGGACTTTGGTAATTTAAGAAATCCGTCTATGATCGATACTATTGATAGGTAAATATCGTCACTATCCTATTTAAATATTTGTCATCCAATACAAACGTGTTTAAACGAAATTTTATATCGTAGATAAAGTCCTTTAGTAAAGCAGTCAAAGTGATGAATAGGAATCGTCATCTACTTCGGTATCGCGTAGTTCAATGTAAATTAGTTTGAAAATATGCGTTAGTTACTTTTACTGAAATAAACATTACTTGGGTTTAAAAACACGTCTTCCTGCACTGGATACTTTTAAGAAACGTGTGCATGATATTTTCATCATCGGAGATAACACTATTGGGCTCCAGAATGTTTTTCATTTTTCCCATAAAATCCTGTAATACTGTGTATAAACGTTTTCCGATTGAGGTGGGATATGGTGTTGAGAGGTTTGAAAACATTATTCTACGACTTGATCACGAAGAATGAAATAGTCTACTGATTCCAGACCAATTAAAAACAGTATGCAAAGGAAGAATACAAAAGATATAGCTATGTTCGTTTTAGAAATACGAATACGATTGTGGCCTATGGAAATTTAATTTCGAACAACTGAGAATCTTTTAATACAGATGAGACTAGTGGGAACTGGATCGACCGAAGGTCTGATATACAACAACACTTCAGCGTTAATAAACCAAACGCCAAATGTAGAGAGAAGACGAGACTTTCAGGATAGCTTTATATTAGGAACCGAAGTCAAGTTGTTAGGATTGAAATGGGACATTTTTTATATGGTAACATGCAATAACCCTGGGACAACAGCAAAGGTCACTGGGGAAATATGACTTGAAAAATATTATCAAGAATATTCTTGGAAGTAGCCAACACTTAGTAACAAAAGTCAAATAACCTGTGATTTATTAAGCAAGGTAATAGAAAATAAGCTGATTTTTTGCTGTTTATTCCCAAGTATATAAAAAGATTTCTGGTTATTGTATAAATCCAATGAACTGGTTTACGCGTTACACTAAAATCGGCAAATACAGCCAACTAAGAGGATCATTTAATTGGACGAATATAGAAGACTGTTGAATTACATATAAGCTTAATCGGGTCTTATGAAACTTGCATTCCTAAAA